ATCTTCGGAGTTTTCTTGCGAAGGTCGTATGTTCCCACGGGTTCCCGCCCTGGTGGCCGGACCCGTGCCTCTATTGTTGTTCGTTGCCTGGCTTGACATCTTGAAAGGTGTGATAGATGAAGCGCAGTTATGCTGTTACGGGCGTCCTCGAAAATCGTCTAAGGGGTTGCTTCCGCGTATTTACTTCCGTCGCGACTACGTGGCGAGTCACAGGTTTCTAGATGCAAGCGAAGTCGGATCACGTGACTACGGTGTCTCACGGTCTTTCTCGAGTTCGTGTGAAGTCGCGACACTGTACTAACGATAGTGAGTTCGTTGGTGATAGTGTAACCTCTCCTAGTACGTCTCCGTAGTATAACTAAGGTATAGGCGTATGTCGAATGTAATAACTGCGCTTGAATCGTATAGAAGTACAACAGACTCGCACGACTTCTCTACGATTCGCGCTCCGTTATATGCTAACTACGTACTCGCGTTGCTCGCACCGAATCCGCTATTGTTTACCGAGTTCGCCCGACTTCGTGCTTGTCTTCTTTGTTCGAGAACAAAAGGCTATCGTCCGTCGGTCACTCTTTCAGGCGAACAATAGACGGTCGAACACACGAAGTCGCGGCTTTCTTTTGTTGACTTCGTGCGGATCCGCTGGGTGTCGCCCGATCCGGGCCGATGACCTAGATGCGCGTCGATCCCATGCTGCCGTTCGGTCACGCCCTGTGACAGTCTGGGAAACGTGATCAATCTCGAGATGGAGTTGATCTACACCAAGCAGGAACCCGACGAATCGATCGAGAAGTTCTACACTACCCTCCGAAAGAGATGGGATGCCGCCGTACGAGCTGGATCTCAACTGTCCGAAGCACACGTCTGCCACATTCTACTGCGATCCGTCTCAGCCGAATGGCAACCGCTGGCCTCGCAGTTGATTCACAGCCTCTCGTTGAACAGCATGCTCATGAGCTTGAACTGGGTCTACCAACAGCTTCGTGCTGAAGAACTGCGAAAGGAGTCGATCTCCGTCGAGATGACCAATGCACAGGCATTGGTAGCCAGGCATGGACACCGGAACAGTCATGCCTCCGGATCAGGATCGGGAAGTCAATACCAACAGCGATCCGCTGGACACGAGCGTCCAAAGGTGAAGAGGAACCCTAGTAACCTGAAATGTTACCGGTGCAATCAGAAGGGACACTACGCGAAGGATTGCGAAAACGAAATACGACCAAAGTCAACCGACAATCATCGTCAGGCTGCGATGTACTCCAGGCCTCAGGACAATGACTCGGTCGAAGGTGACGACGACGTATTCGGCATGTTCATGGCCATCGTCGAAGGGGAAACAATTCCCTCCAGTCCTCCCAAGCTCGACTCCGAATTGCCGTCCGAGCGTGCTCCTCCTCACCTAGCCATGTCTGCTCTCTGTCGACGAGACGTGCTGGTGATGGACTCAGGATGTACCAGGCATATGTTCGGAGTACGAGAGTGGTTCAGCGACTTCCGAGAATGCAAGCTCCCGATCTCCATCGGCAACGGAAAGACGATCTACGCCACGGGCACCGGAAAGGCCAGCGTCTATCTGAAAGTCGGGAACAAAACGGTTCACACATACTTCGACCACTGCCTCTACGTACCCGATATCGCACTGAACCTGATCTCTGTCAGTTCGCTGGTCAGGCAGGGTATGGAGGTGAGTATGAAGTCGACACATGCCGACGTGATTCGCAGAAAGACCGGATCGATCCTGCTTTCGGCCCCATTGGTGAACGGTCTGTATACGATGGACGTCGTTCATCAGGAAAACAAGGCTCTCGCGAGCAGAGTCGTTCCGGAAACCATCGAAGACCTTCACAAACGGCTAGGACACGCGGGATACACCACACTACGACGAGCGATCAAGGAACATCTCGTCGGAGGGATTGACGTGGTCGACGAAGGGAATCCTCAGTGCGACGTATGCATTCGAGCGAAGCAAACACGTGCTCCGTTCAACGGTGTTCCTCCAAAGTCAATTCGACCTCTGCAGTACATCCATTCCGATGTTTGCGAGGTCGGGCGGAGCAGTATTGGAGGACAATGGTACTTTGTCACGTTCATTGACGATTTTACTCGATTCAACACCGTCTACTTACTGAAGAAGAAGAGCGAGGTACTGGAGAAGTTCAAAGAATATGTCCAACGAGCTGAAGTCATGCACCCTGGAAATCGGATCCAACACCTCCGTAGCGACCAAGGAGGGGAATACATCGGTGCCGAGTTTTCAGCCTACCTCGCAAGCAAGGGAATTCAGCTACAGACAAACATGGCACACTCGTCTCAGATGAACGGCATAGCGGAACGGGCTAACAGAACACTCATGGACGGAGTCAACGCCTGCCTCAAGGAAGCCGAGATGAGCGACGGATGGTGGGGTGCGGCGTTACTATATTTCGTACATATACGTAACCGACTCCCTACCAAAGCGATCCCCACTACTCCATACCAAATGTGGACAGGGGAAAGGGCATCGCTGAAACACATACGAACCTTCGGTAGCAAGGTGTACACGTACCTTCCGAAGAAAGTTCGTGAGAGCAAACTCGCAGACAAAGTCAGCACAGGTCTGCTAGTCGGGATCCATGACGATAGCCGGAGCTACAACGTCTACGATCTGAAGTCTCGCAAGATCAGCAAAGTCCGCGTGTACGACTGCATCTTCGAGGAAGAAAAGAAGGCCATCGAAGATGAAGAGGAAGCCAACGCCGTTGACCCTACGGCAGACGATAGTCGCATCGCCAACGACAGCGGACCCAGCTCGTCAACCTCGGACGAGAGTTTGAACAAGGGATCGAAGACGACAAAGACCACTGATGTCAACACCAAACTACCAGAGGTTCCATCGGCGAGACCCGTTCGCACGAAACGTCTACCGGCTCATCTGAAGGATTACGTACTTCTCACACAACTCCGAGAGGATATCGACAAAGGGGTTAGGGTAGACGAAACCCACCTTTTTGCTGGGATAGCCAGCGAGAATCTTACACCCGAGCAAGCCCTAGCGACAAACGAAGCGGCGGCATACCAAAAGGCGATGGACGAAGAGATCGACGCTATGAAGAAGCATGGCGTATGGACTCTGGTCGACCGTCCCGCAGACACGAATGTCGTATCCTGCAGGTTCCTCTTGAGATGCAAGGAAGGACCCAACAATACGAAGTGGTACAAAGCTCGACTTGTCGCTAGAGGATTCTCTCAGGTATACGGATGGGACTATACAGAGACGTTTGCGGCGGTCAGCAAAGCCAGCTCGATTCGACTTCTTCTAAGCCTAGCTGCGCAAGAGGACATGGAGATACAGCAGATGGATGTAAAGACGGCATTTCTTCATGGTAAACTCGATGAGGAGGTATACATGGAGCAACCGCCAGGCTATGCCACCGATCGCAACAAGGTCTGTAAGCTAGCCTGATCCATCTACGGGTTGAAACAATCTCCTCGATGCTGGAATGCCCGGTTCTCCGATCACCTGAAGAAGCATGGGATCGTCCCTATCAATGCAGACGCGTCGGTCTATCATGGCAAGATCAAAGACAAGCGAGTCTTCATTGCAGTCTTCGTCGACGACATGCTCATCTTCGCTGACGATATCGAGACCACCAAGCGAGTCAAGGATATCATGACGGACGAGTTTGAGATGACCGACATGGGAGATCCGCAAACCTTCCTAGGCTGGGAAATTCGTCGAGACCGAAAGGAGAAGATCCTGTACCTCCATCAACGCAAGTACATCGACGAAGTACTTGAACGGTTCGGAATGGAAGGGTGCTCTGGAGTGCGCACTCCTCTGGTCGACAGCAAGGAGCTCATCCGCTGCTACATGCAGAAGACAACTCCGGGAGACAAGACCTGGTACATGAGCGCAGTCGGATCACTCATGTATCTCATGTTGTCGACAAGGCCGGATTTGGCGTTCTCAGTCGGGATCTTATCTCGCTTCTCGTCGGACCCTCAATCGGAACATGTCAGCGCGGTCAAGAGGGTCTTTCGATACATCAATCAGACGAAGCAGCTCGAGCTATCCTACTCGGGGAAATTCGAGATCGCGGGGTACGTAGACGCCGACTACGCGAATGATCCCAGCGACGGCAGGTCGATCGGTGGATGGATTTTCGTAAACGGTGGAGGCATCTCCTGGCAGTCGAAGAAGCAGGACTGCGTCACCGTTTCGACAACCGAAGCGGAGTATCTCGCCCTCTCCTCGGCGGCACGCGAGGCGATCTGGCTCACTCGCTTCTCGGACAACATCGGATACAAGATGTGTATCACCTTGTTCGAGGACAACAAATCGACGATCGCACTGGCGAAGAATCCGATTGCGCACAACCGAACGAAGCACATCGATACGCACCAGCACTTCATCCGAGAGAAGGTTGCTGAACGAGCGGTCAGCGTGACCCACATCTCCGGCGTCGACAACTGCGCAGACGCGTTGACGAAAGAACTTCCCGCGACCGCTTTCGAACAACACGTACTTTCGTTCGGACTCTCATGCGATCAACCATGAACAACGACAACCGATACGAACATGAACGATTTAGACAACGAAGAGACGGGAGACGAAAATGGTGGAGGTGTCACGTGACGCGATTTTCGCCCCTAGCGTACACCTAGATGTAAAGACCTCTAGTATCTTCATTTTTACCTCTTCATGTTGTAAACCTGTTTGCTCAGCAAATCTTAGTACTTTGCTAGCAACAGGTGAGTACTGTAGTTCATGTTTATAAGAACAGCAAATCTTAGTACTTTGCTAGCAACAGATTTCAATCATAATCTCATGCATCTGAAGCGTCTGTAATATTGTTGATAGCAAGCAATCGCTGCTCGGCCGTGCGCGATTGAAGAAAGAAGAGACTGCACAGTCGGTCCGGGCTAATTCCAGCCGCACACCTCTCTTGCTCAGAAATAATCTGAACTCAAGCGGACCGACCCGAAGCCTCAAACGCTCCCACTGCCACAGCTGAACCATTGCACGCCCATTTCATGTATTCGATAGATCGATAGATAACGATGTAGTCACACGAGAAGGATCACATATACACAGCCGAGGAAGGCGCTCTCCGTGCACCTTCCGTTATTGTTGTCGTTGTCGTTGTTGATGAGGCTGAAGAGGTAGGTATTTCTGGCATCTTGGAGTCCAAACCCGAGTAGTCCCTCTTTGGGGTGTTTGATGATGATGGGGGGTTCGAGTGAGTCGATGCGGCGTTGAGTACTGCGATTTGATACGAGCAGAGTGGAGGGTGGTGAAGCGAATACGAGGAAGACGAGAGGCGAGGATAGCGATGATAGATCAGCTGGTAGTTCCAGGTTGCAGGTCGACGAAATGGAAAAGGAAAGAATAGGTAAACCGAGGCGTACCTTGCTGCCACTCGGCCTTGGCCGCACTCTCTTGCTCTTCTTCTGACAACTTGGTCGATTTCCGCCCAAAGAAGACTTCTTTCCACCCGATCGTCCTGCCCTCGACGAATTCTTCTTCTAACCGCTCCATCCCTTCCTCTGTTCCCGTGCTTGTAGGTTTTAAACGTTCTCGAAGCCCTACCATCCGTAATTCCCTATCCACCTCTTCTTCATCCACTATTGTCCTTGAATTATCACCGGATGCTCCCGCGGCATTCTTGTACCTCTCCACCAAGTTCTCGAGGACCGTCAACTGGGCCTCTTTCCGGCTGAGTTCTTCTTTAGTATGCGTCCGCACTTGCATCAAGTGGAACGCTAACGAGGTAAGAGCCGTCCAGTAGAGGAAGAATGGGATGAGGGGTTTTAAGCGGGCGGAGATGGGAGGAATGTCGTCAGGGCCTGGAGGGGGGACGTAGAAGGGGTTGTTCTTCTGGAGGTCGGCTGGGGTTTGAGCTCGAGGACGGGTGGAGAGGGTTCGGCGGGATGGACGTGGAATTTGACGGCTACTCGATGCTCGGGGTGCTAGAAATCGACAGGAGAGAACCATCTGTGAGCTACCAAGTACGGACAGAGCAGGAGTTCGAAGGTTACTTGCCAGCTGATCTCAACGTCCCGAATGCCCAGCTCAGACGATGAAATGAGGATGTCGGGTTCATGGCGTTGGCTTCGCAGTTGTTCCGTCCGGACGTTGTGTTCGGACTTTTTTTTCTCTCTCGCAGATTAACGAGCCCTAGCTTTCTGTTATGCCTGGCTGCTTTGAGGGAAGGACGATGAAATGTCAGAGTCGAGATCGCAAGTCGAAAATATAAACTTGGCAGGAGTTGTGAATGTCGAAGTTGAGGTAGCGATCACTGGTCATCGTCGAGTCCATGGTCAAGCAGGTCCCACCTTGGACGCTCAGACCCTTGATCATATTCACATCGACCTCTCATCGCCACACCGTCAAGCTCTTTACATACCCTCATACAAATCGAATAGTAGCAACAATGTCAGCTGGATACACTGAAGAAGAACGTCAGGCGGCGGTGAGTCTACATTGGGGTTCGAGCGGAGCTCAGAGTCGTAAACTGACTTGAGGTCATCTCCCTTTCCGGATCGATTAAACAGTGGGCAGCGGTAAGTCCTCCCCAATCACATAAACCACTTCCCTTTTCGAACTCTCAAACTGAATTCAATCCTATCCTGTCGATAATTCAGTACTACGCCGCCCAAGCAGCCGGACCCTCCGCCACGCCCACTTACTACGGCTCGGCAGGCTACGCACCCGCAGCCGGTCCTTCTACTTCGTCTTCCACCTACGTGCCGAACCATAACAACGCATACGATCCGGAGATGGCTCAACAGTCCTTGGCTTACAACTATAAGCCTGATCAAGCTTCTTCTTCGGCTGGACCTTCAGGAGCTGGTTTACCAGGCGCTGGGGCCGGTGCTGGTGCAGGTGCAGGTCTTGGGGCCGGAGCAGGAGCAGCTACAGACCCGGCAACTCAAGGATATATGGGACCTGATGGTAAATGGGTTCATCCGCCTAAACCGACCAAGAAGGCCGCGCAGGGGAAGAGGGAGACGGTCATCAGGTCTAAAGGAGGGAGGGTCTGGGAGGATCAGACGTTGTTGGAGTGGGACCCTTGTGAGTCCCGTCCCGTTGTCTTGAGGATACTTCTACTTCGATCCTCCATGATCTTTTGCTTCTTATGTCCTCATTCTCATTCTCGTTCTTATTGTCATAATATAACCTGATAAACCGGACTGACACCCCCCACCCGTTTTTTCTGGTTGCGCCGGATATAACAGCCTGGTTCAGACTCTTCGTCGGAGACCTGTCCAACGACGTCAACGATAACACGCTCAACAACGCGTTCGCAAAGTACCCGAGTTATTGTAAATGCAAGGTCGTCAGGGATCGGTTGAGCATGAAGGTGAGCTTCGGGGTGTCTCTTCGTGCATTCCCCGCCTCGAGGGATCTTGTCTTGGTCGAATTCGTATACTAACATGACCTCCTTTTTTCCTTTCGACCTTGACTTTGCAGGCCCGATACGGTTTCATAGCCTTCTCAGACCCTGAAGACTACCTCAAAGCGTGGAAAGAGATGGACGGCAAGTACGTGGGTAATCGGCCGATCAGGCTGATGAAGTGTACAGACAAGTTTGGGGGGACCAAGGCGGTCCAGATTGGGGCGAGGAGGGGGAAGGAATTGGACAAGATTCAGAAGAACAAGGGGAAGCCTTTGGATGGGCGGCCGGTCCCTTGGTAGATACGGATAGTGGTTGGGGGAATGATTTTTTGGGGGTCGGCAGGAAGCGGGGTCGGTGTATGGGGCGGTGTTTGGAAATCGCGGTACGATGATATATCGGCTCTGATATCATGCTTATCGTGTCCCGTCTTGGGACCCATGACGACGCGATAGACGGGCCTGATATCATCGGAATGGTGGATACCAGTCAATCGATTGAGAGCTCTGGGTACTACCGTCTCCAAGTCGTTTTTGATATGTTGTGGTATACAGGCAAGCCCTTCAAAAGCCATGCAATTGTCGATTAGATAGACCAGAGGTTCCTGATCCTTCGATAAGATGGCATAGCTGCCTCGGTCCATGGTAGTCATACTGTCGGCCAGGGCATCAATCTCGTTTGGTAACATTCCGGCTAGGTCAGGGAGATTTCAGCGAATAAGGTCAACATGATTATCTCCAACTCGCGGTCGATCGAGACAACCGCAAACATTACAGCGATTCACATCTACTCTGGTGCTTATCAAGGTTTGCAAATGCGACAATGGTGACCCAAGGCTGGCATCTGTTACGGAGCCACCGTCCAATACCGCCAAGTCCACACGGAGAGACGTCTGGCTCTCCTGTTTGCCTGTTCCAATCCCTGTCGGCATCTTTGAACGGGTTCTCTGGGTCCCAAGCTCCTTTGTCTCGGGGCAAAGGTTCCTGGGGCATGTCTTCGGTATCGGGATCGATCATGTTGTCGTTGAGACTAGGGTCGGGGTATGCAGTGGGGGTGGAGTTTGGTGATGCTGATGAGATTTCGAAGATACGTGCTTGATCCCAAGAAAGCTTCAGGTCGAACCCACGCGGAGTTGGCCGAAATAAAGTCACAACTTCGAACAGAGTTTGTAGAATTTGTAGATTCGATCGCCAGGTGACGTGCAACCATCGTCGTTTCACCATCGACATCTGAATCAGATAATACCGCTGGCTCGTAAGATGATCGTACGACATACGACAATCGCTCCAATTCCGGAGCTCCTACGCTCGATCGCCCGGCCGGTCCGATGTGCCCGTCGCCGTTACTCGACCCGACCACCACCACTCAAGCTCGACCTCCTCCAGTCTCATGCTCTCATTCGTCGTATAGACCCCGGTTCAGACGCTGCAAGCTCTCCGAAGCAATCTGAGTCTGATATCAAGCCGGAGGACTTTGTTTATTACCCCAATTTTTTCTCTCCGGAAGAACAGGCCATCTTGGTCAGGCTGGCTTTATGGAAGTTGGACCGGGTGGATTCGAAGAAGAAGCGGACGAGGAGACGACGGTCGTCCACCTCAACTTCTACACCCGCCATCGACGGAGAAGTTGAAGGAAATGGGTCGCAAGCAGGAACTTCGAATTTAGATCTGCAGGCGTTGTTCGAAGACCCGAGTGTGTATGGGTTCGAAGAAGTAAGCCTCAACCCCACCCCACTGTACTCCTCGAATCTCAGCTGACTAGACTCTTACTACCTGCTTGTGAATTCGATCGACGGTAGGGCCACTTCGACTCAGTAATCACCTCCTACAGAGAATCACTCCTCACAGCCTTCCCCGAACCGTCCGTCATCCATCCGATAGTTCCGTATCCGGCGATTTTGAAGAGGGTTTATGGACTTTTACCAGCTTCGCCCGGGGCGGAGTTGGCCAGGGGGCTATATGAATCGCTAGTTCTACCTGTTTCTGGGTCTACAGGCTCCGTTATATCCCAATCAATAACAAGAACAACACCGTCGTCAACCTCAAATCCAAATGCCTACAATCCTTCAGGAGAGGATTGGGAACCGTTCGCAGCCCCTCTCCAGACGACTACCCACGCACTGCACCTCTCGCCGACAGGGAGGATTGATCCGCACGTCGATAACGTGGATGCGAGTGGGAGTGTGATCATCGGAGTCAGTTTGGGCGCGGAGAGAGTCTTGAGGCTGGAGCGTAACGGTGCCGAGAGTGAAGGTAGGGACGGGTGGGAGGTGTTGTTAAAGAGCGGATCGGTCTATATACAAAAGTGAGCGAACCTAATACAAGCCGGATCCTGCTTTTCCCCTGAAGGGACCGCTCACTGATCCCAATCGACTATTTCGTGGTGTGTTCGTGTAGGGATACCGTCCGGTACAACTACGCCCATTCGATCCTCCCTTATTCTTCGGACCGTTCTGTGGACGCCGAGGGGGAGAGGTTGAGGCCGGGTCATCGGATCTCGTTGATGATCAGGGTGAGTCTGCTTTCTGGTTGCTTTCTGTCTGTTTTCGGTTCGCGGGGTACGGTCACAGGAGCGCGGTTTTGGGTGCGGTTTCGTATTGCGACCACTAAAGAGAGTCTCGATGACAGCTAGGCAGGAAACGCTGCAGAATGAAAGTTGGGACAGAAGAGGACACGTAGGAGACAGTTTGATCAAGCTGGCGAGTCGAGGCGTGACTCCGAGCCGGAATGCAAGAAAGATATGCGACAAAGTACCAAGTGATTAGGTGTGGGAGAGGGAAGAGGGGGGAAATGTCAGCAGCAAGTGCCCAGGGGAGACTATAACCACCGGATCTCAGAAAACGCAGGAGAATCGCCGGTCAATGCAAGGCGAGAGATATGAATCTTCAGCCGGAATAGCGGATTAAATCTGGGATGGTCAAGAGAAGACGGGCTAACGCCACTCAGAAAACCCGATGGCGGGCATGGAGCAGGCGTGGAGGAAGCGGTATGGAATTCATCGGGATGGTCGTGACGATCCGAATCAGATCGAGCGCCGGGCGCCTGAAGATCGAGAAGCAGAAGAGATGAGACGACAATATGCGCTACGAGACGATCCGCCCCAGAATCGATGGATCTGCGTGAAGTCGGTCAGCGAGAAGCCCCAACGGAAGCCGCCATTCCGCCTCGTTCTCTTCCCCCTTTCCTACACTAACCAGCTAGGCACTTGCAGATCTGTGAAAACGATCCGCAGCGGATGAGACTGATAACCGTTTCCTGTTGCGGTTTTTCCCTGTTTTTTTAGGACGCGAAACCGGATTTCTCTGCGGGCTCGGCATGACATTTCCGGAAAGCCGATCGCTCTGTACCGATGGGGAATCTTCGTGAGAACGATCGTTTTCGCTGGGTCTTGTAGAGGCAAAGCGGCCGGAATATGCACGGCCTAGATACACTATGAGGACGTTCGTCAATGTAGGATGTCGGAGAAGATATGATCGATGTCTTCGATGTTGAAAGAGCTGACGATCCGGTTCGACCACGATTAGACTCGTGAGATGTATCTTGGAGGGACTAGCTACCATTAGACTAGATATAATCCTCGAACGATACAGATATTTTGGGGACGCTTTCTTCCCTATTCCGACCAGATTTAGCCTAGAGGAAACGCGAGCCTGCCTTGTCGCGACCCGCTAAGCATACCGCCTGAAGTGGACCCCGTTCCACCAGGTTTTGGAGAGGCGTGTCAGTTGCTCTTCTGACAAATGAACAAACCGGTTGCTTCGCTTCTCCAGATGTCTCGATTCGAGGTCTCAGCGGGTGAGGATCAACGGATGAACTTCGATCCGTGGTCGTGTGGGGCTCGACGGAATACCATCAACGTTGAGCTCGCTGGAAGCGTTGAACTCAGGCATTGTAGACATGAAATAAAAGTACACAAAGACGAGAGCATACGCCAATCTTCAAGTACAAGCCACAGAACGATGACCCGATTACTCGTATGCAGGAGGCGAATCTGCAGGCCTTTCTCTACGGCTCGAGGACTGTGACGTGGTGACATCAGGAATTTGCTACATCGTCTCAAGCCCTAGTTTCTCACTCCCGGACATTTCACGTAAACATGAGCGAGGTAATTATCGCTATCGACTATTGACAAGCACGCCGCGATGAAACTTGAAACGACGACGACGACTACCCATGAAACCGGATACGGCATCCCCTGGCCCCTGGGCCTCGTGCTACGGAGTCGGGCGTTGCCGAGCGAATGACGTACTTTTGCCTCTCGCACTACGTCATCGGGGTACGTCACTACCACGCGCACGCGGGGCGAGCGGCTCCGGCGGGCGACGGGGGGGAATGAGCTGCGGAAGCAGATCTCTGCGCGGGACCCACCGAAAGGGATGTTGATGTCGCCATCACCCAGAATGACAAAAGGGTATAAAGAGCAACGCCCATCACGATTCGACGTTCCCCCATCACACCACCACACAACCTCTTCCCCTTTTCACAACAAACACAAACTCTCACTTTCTAAACCAAACCCCACACAGATTCAACACCACCACCATGTCCAACGCACCTTCCAAGCTTAACGGTCAGGTCAACAGCGTCGTCGGGTCCGTCGAGGCCATGGCCGGAGCGGTCATCGAGGCCGGTGTGAGTCCCAAATCCTTCTCCATCGACGTGACCTAGTCCTCACATACTAGTCCTCACATATGCACACATGACTGACAAATGCCTCATGGTTTCGTATCGCGGTCGCTTCACACCTACAGTTCCAGGCCGTCGGAGGATCTACCGAGCCTAGCGTCTTGACCAAGGACGGAAAGGAGAGGCACGACAAGGGAGAAGCCGAGATCAAGGCTGCCGAGGCCAAGCAGTATGCCGAGGGTACCGTCGACCGGGTCGTCGGAAAGAAGGGTGAGTCCCGAGTCCCACTCTCATCTTCTTTGATATGTCGAACATGTTTGGGCTGATGATCATGTGTAATGTTCGCTATGCTCGCTTCGTAGACGCCATCGTCGGCGCCATTACCGGAGACTCTGCCCAAGAGCTCAGCGGGAACGCCCAGAAGGAGAGCGGTCACGCTCAACAGAAGCTCGCTACCTCGTAAACGCCCGGGCGTGTAGCTGGTCCCTGTTTATGAAGGACGTGATGTGACGTGACGAATATGATATGATAATATACCCCATCTCCCATCGAAGTTTGACTTTCCGCCTTGTCTGGAGGACACTGTACACCGCTCATCCCATCCCGCCTGACCTCCTCTCCCCATCTGATCCCCTCTCTCCGCTCCTCGTCTGGGCATCGTGTGTGACGTTACGTCTACATGCCCATGACGAACCCAAACTCGTCTTCCAATCCGTACCTCGCCATCCACTCTTTCACCTGCCTCATATCCCCCCGGTTTCCGTGTACTCCACGTTGATCGATCAGGTGGGTTATCTCTTGCATGATGGAGAAGGCTCGATGAGGGATCTGGTGGCGGGTACGTTCGGTGACCTGCGGCGTCGAGATCGAGACGAACGAGTTGAATTGAACCATATTAACATCAGCCATCGACTTGGCTAGGAAGATCGTAACTCGGCCTCCCCCTCGACCTCGACCTCGACCTCGAACTGACCTTTTTCTGATAACTAGGGATATCCCCCCAACTCTCGTTCTTGATATCGCTCATGTACCTCTCAAACGCCCTCCCTCTACCCTCTAGACACAGTAAGCCCGGTTTTCCAGCGAGGACGAACCCGGTAAGGTGGTACCGTGACGCGTAGGTGACGAGGTCTCGACGTTTCGAAGGGGTCGATAGGGAGGGGAACCAGAGGTAGGCGCGTTCGAGCGGTTCGTCCGGGTCGGGCTGGGAGGAAGAAGAGGACGCCGAGGTGGAGTTGAGATTGAGGTTGAGGAGGGTTTCTTGCTGACGCAGGAGGAGGACGGAGAGGATTTTCGGACGGATGAGGTCGATTACGGTCGTAATGAAGCCGAGTTGATCTTCCTCTTCTTCTCCTCCATCGTCCCCGTCGTCGTTGCCCTCCGAACCGGTTTCTCTTCGGACCTCCCGTTGAACGTCTTCGAACTCCTTTTCCAGCCGATCCACATCCGCTCTGATCAACCCGGTAGGGAGTTCCGAGAGCGTCATCTTCACATTCCTGTCCTTTCTGTCCTTCCTGCTCGATCCCAAGCGATTCGTAGAGGTCGGGGGGAAGATGATCTTGAACCCGACCTTGACATCTTCTCCCATCCCAGCATCTCCAGCCAATCCGTTCATTCCGTCATCACCATCACCAGCAGCATGACCACTTCCACCTTCTTCCCTCAAAGGCACCCTCAAGACCAACCCGAGTTCCTCTTTCCCCCCTGTATTCCCATCCGATTCGTAGGCCGTAGGATCTTCCAGGGCGAGAGCGGTCGAGGGGAAGAGGATGATTTCGTCAGGAAGGGGGTACATCGATTGGAGGATCAGGATGGTGTCCATCTTCGATTTTGGTTTTCCGTCTCGGTGCTGGCCCGGGATTTTTTGATTTTGGGTTTCTTGGTCTGGAGGTGTGACGAGGTGTAGATGAGAGGATAAGAGAGCGTCAAGAGAGGAGATTTGTGGGGGATGAGGATCTTCGTAGTGGGTCGTGCATACCAATCTTCGGCTTGAGGCATCTAGCTTCTGACGATCTGTCGATATCAGAACAGACGAGCACGACGATAATCTATGAGGATCAACTCTTTCGATGAACGCGGAGGTCAACCCGAAATCGTTATTTGCTTCCGAGCGAGTGAAGCGGACCCTCTATTTCGCGCCTGGAAGCGCTCGTCTCTCAGATGTCGAGACCGTCATATAAGTCAGACCACCGCCCCGGATATCATAACTACCAAGAGGTCAAGCAGAAGAGCAAGGGAAAAGACATGAATCGATCTGATAGCTATGAAGAGAACATGCAAGGTCCCCTTCGAGACATGGGCGCAATCTCGCTCATCTATCAAACGGTGGATCGATCATGTATCAATCGGCCCATCGCGCGCGAGAAGCGATGATCAATTGATCAAAGGTGTTTCAGACTTGTGACCTTCCATCATATCAATCAGGTACTCGCCGCGTTCCGCTCCTTCTCGTGCCGCGATGTTGATCGTCGACAATAACAATCAGTCGAAGCAAGATTGATGATCAGATTTGATGGATCAATCAACAAGAAACTTTATTTCTTTTGTTGTTATCGTCCGTGCTTCGCGTCTCGTAAAAGCGAAAAACTATAAGAATCCCCAAAGGAAGTCATCCTTCGATCTTTCGGAACCGACCTCCACCAAGCGACAACAACAATCATCGACATCCGACTCCCTCGACATAGTGAAACCTCCCCAAAACTTCTCTCCTGCTATGGCCACCTCCTTCTCGTTCTCCAGTCAACCTATCAACTACCGACAATCGCGCGACGTGGTCGTCGGTTGGATCCGACCTCAACAGGTGAGTGCACGCACATGAAACTGGTCTTCTTCTCGTTTTGGTATTGCGAAGCTGAGTCTGTCATTCTCGGATAGAATCTCGTCCATCGACCATTATCCTCCAACTCTCCTGCTTCGAGATACACCCCTTACCCTCAACCTCAACTCAGACCTCAATCTCACGCGACACCCCATCCTCAGTTGACCACCTCCCAACCCCTCAATCTCGTTCCATCGACATCGAGGTTCAACCCGAGATCTCCCACTCGGCCTCTCTTCAGTCATAAACCGGCTCAACTCCAGACCTCGCCAGGGTCAAGGGAACGGAAGAGACTTCGGTCGTCGACGCCTCCGGCACCGCCTTTGATCCCTTTGGGGTGTTATCGACCTACTGCGCAGGGATCTTTGACGAGAGACGCTTTTAAGACTCTCTCCCATCGTCAGCCTCGACCTCATCCTCAGTCTCATTCTCAATCTCAATCTCAATCTCATGCTCATCAACCGAACTCTGCATCGGGTTCCCAACCGCAAGCCCACCCTAATCCATATCCGCAACGCTATGCGCATTGCCCACCACAAGCGCGAAACCAGATTCAGAGCCAGAAGCAGCTACATTCACATAGGCATGCACACGGTGGAGAGAGATCTATAGCCACCTCTATCAAATCGACCCCGGACACCTTGCGCTATCCTCCCCTCAAAACCCCCTCGGTCTCTGGTTCACAGACGACCTCGGCCAGCTTGACTATCTCTACGAACCCGACCTCTTCTTCCGCCACCCCGACCATCTCAAGCAACCCGACCACCTCAAGCAACCCAACTAACTCAAAAGTCCAGACCACTTCCTTCATCCCTTCAGGCTCGGGATCACAACCGATGAGCCCGGAACGTCATCCCGCCCCCGAACCTCGTACCGCCCCGGAACCTCACCGAGCCCCGCAAGTAGGGCAGACTGTCCCCACGCAAAGCAGCTTTCTATGCGTTTTTCAGTATAAGACGGAGAGGGTCCAGGCTATTGGGGCTGATGATCTTGCCGTGAGTACCTCTCAATTTTCAGAGTCATCTTTCTCTTCTTGGGGAGGTTTTTGAGGCGGGACTGATCTGTTTGGATGATACGGTCGGTCGCGCTTTGTAGACCACACTGCAGAGCTTGCCGTGTATCTTCCCCGCTCTAGCCGCTTATCAGCCGGAGGAAGTCACGTTGTACGGGATCGTCCCGCAGTTTCAGGCTCGGAGCCCTTCTACCTCTCCCGCTGTCGAACCGGCTTCTTCCGGTATCGCGACGAGAGAAACGTCGACGACGACATCGACGACGGCCCCTTCGACGAGCAAATCATTGTGTTTCAGGATGACGCCCGGTCTATACGCCGAGCTCCGAAAGGCGCATCGTTCTGTCTACTCGGATCCTACGGATCATAGGGATGAAAACCGGACCCAGCAGGAAATGGGACAGCAGGAGCGAGAGCGACAGAGACAACGAGAGGGAGCTATGAGGGCGATCTCTTGGTTCATCGTCGTCACGTCTGAACAGGTTTCTGGAAACGCGGAGGGGAGGAAGATGGCCGGGCTACAGGATGACCCGAGTGATGGGAATGGTGGGAACACGGCTGGGGGAAAGATGGAAATGAAGCTTCATCTGTGTTCTGGAGGGAGTGGCAAGGATGGGAAGGCGGCCAAGGGGTCGCGACAGAATGAGGATGGGAAGAAGGCATCGACGGACGGGACGAAGCAGAGGTCGAAACGGGCGGGTGAACTTGATCGGGTGGCCGAGAGGGAACAACAAGCGGAACATAGATCCTCGGCACCGTCACCCGCCTTTCCAGCACGAGTTCAGTCACCAGTGCCAACATCTTGCCAACACCGCATGACTGCGCCGGCTGACCTAGATCGATCCTCAGAGGAGGACAAACCGATCCAGGTTCAGCCCGAGTCCATGCACATCGGCAGCGACAATCATAGTCGGGACGAGAACGACCCTCTCGATCTCGTCCCGCCTAAGGGATATACCGACCGAGCGGGAGCGCTCGAGGCTTTACGCGGGTTGTCTTTGTTGTGGAAGAAGTCTCCCGTTAGGGAGATTGTGCCTCTCGGCGAGGTTGAAGTTGGAGAAGATACACAGCGCGAGGTCGAATGTCAGAGCGACGATCTTGGGGAGGAGATGGAGACTGGGGTTCAGAAAGAGGCGGAGGTAGAGCCAAAAACGGCGGTGGAAACTAGTAGCGCGATGGCGGTCGACGATCAGCTTGAGCTAGAATTGCAGGCCGCGCCGGTAGACATCCGTCGCAGCCAAACTCCGACTTCACCAGCTCCAATCGTTGCGGTCGAATCGGCCGTCAAGCAGGAAGACAAGACACCTCCCGCCACTCCACTGAAGTGTATGGTGATTGATCAGATCACCCCTCCGCACCCACCGGTCCTCTACAAGGTCAACACGAAGAACACGATCATACTTACCGCTACTACAACGAAGAAAACCGCCTCAGCCGACCCGTTTACCGTCGACGTGCACCTGCAGGAGCTGGTCAACCCGGCCCCTACAATTCATATGAAACCCAATCCCAAGCCAAAGAAGCGCGAGAAGAAGAAAGCTCTGCAACGAACCTCAACCGTCGTGTTGCCCATGAGTGACCGGACGAACCTTCCCTATCGGCCGATGATACAGATGAGCAAGAGCGAGAAGAGGTTACAAGCTTCGTTGCAAGCGGCTTTTGGCGGGAAGGGGTTGGTTCAAGAAGCGACGAGAGGATGATCAATGACGCTCGATATTGACTCTGATAAGATAGACCTGTCTATGGACGGCAATAGCGATAATATCATATTACGAAACGACATGACGACTGATTGATGGCGTTTCCTTTTGTCACGGAAAAGAAAGCAACGGTTGTCAAGCAGAGTGATTCCACTTCAGGGTCGATAGAGGCGTGTCCAATGCTTTATCAACGGGAGAGTCCAGGCCGGAACCAGCTGCCAGGTCTGGTGACATGTCGAGAATTCATATATCTGCATCTGTATCAGGTATGGGGCTCAATCATAGTATCCGGGACGATCCGCAGGCTAGCACAGCCGAACATGCTAAAGCTGCTTCACATTCCGTCATACTCAAGTACATCGAATGGACTTGGATTTCCCGGCGAGCTGCTACTACTCCTTTGAACAGCAGTTGGCGAGTCACAATTGGCATCATGCCATACTGGCATGTAAACACACACAGCATCGAATTCAAGTTACAGGAATCTCAATCCGATGATACAACACGATTATACGATACATACTAGTCAAGCAGGAGGATCTTCTCCATCCTGTTCTTCTACGACCCATATCTTTGACACTACACCAGTCTGTGGCCCCTCTAGTTTCAGAGCTCGTCTGACAGTCGCCACGCTAGTTTTCGTCAACGCGGCTACCTGGTTCTGACCTTGCAATCGGACAGATTTGACAGAGCCGTTGTCATATTTGAATTCATGCCACCTCACACGATGCACCAAATACCATTTCTTATTGGTAGAACCGGCTGAGATGTTGGCCCGATGGTCTGGGTCAAGCTCTTTGTCCGTCTTTCTCTGCTTACGAGATTTCTGGCGCTTGGCTGGGATTTTTCATGTCAGAGCGAGAGCGAAACATGTAAGCAGATATCCACAAGCCGATACACCAGATAGTTTGCGCTACCTATAATCTGTATTTTCCAAGTATCATCTTGGCGTCCTCCTTTCGAGATAGTGCCTCGGGCTCTGCCAGTAACAGCAGCAATCTCCTTCCATGTATTTACATCGACATGAGGCACCTTCACCTTCAGTTCTCCGTACTTGAAGTCTTGCCCGTCTTTTCGTCGTACTCGGTAGATATTGGTTTCAGATGAATTATCTGGCGCAGCCGATGCTTCGGTGCAATGCTCATTTTGCATCGTCTCGGCAGATGTCTGGTATGGATAGACAGTGGTAGCGCAATTGCTGTCTGGGTATTCAAGGAGACCGGGTGGGACTGGTGAAGACCACTCATAACGACTGTCTTGATCCGCTGCTGATTTCGGAAAATACTGATATCCAGGAGATACAGCCTTTGTGGCCACCGACTCATCGCTGAGCGTCCGCTGGTGATAAGGACTAGGTTGGAGGTAATAAGGATGGCCGACATCTGTCGGAGCAGATTCATACGGGTAGTCAATCTGTTGACGATCACCATATCCAGTGTGATCTGAGGTGGTCATGACAACGTTGGCGTGCCTCGGCAGCGAGGGACTAGACAGGGACGGGTCTGGGAGACACGAAGAGCGCCAAGACGACTGCCCGCTTGATAAATATCGGCTTCTCGCTTCTTCGATTGGCTGTCGAGAGTACCCAGACATCTTGCAGTTCAGACAACAGACTGGGAGGGAGAGATATGATGGTCAACAACAATTCGCGCAGCCTGAGCTGGGGTGAGTTTGTCAGTTCCTCCAGGGGATATATATACTGAGTGGAAGACAAAGGATACCTGAGCTACTTGATCAGCTGCGAAAATGACTGGTTAGTGTCGTAATCAGCTTCCTTTGTGCGTTACAGCTTACCATCGCACTGCTTGCCATGAAGCTTTTCTAGCCCAGCCGTACATCGTACACTGCATTTGTAGTCCAACTGCTACGATTGAAGCTTGAACGCACAATCGTACCAACGATGCGCTTGTCCGACGATCTGACTTCCTCAGCGGTGACAGACTATCTCGACTGCAAGCATGCCGGAAGCGCCTTGTATTCCAACCCAACGCAACTGATCAGCAATCATCCACGCGCTGAGGTTGTCGCGGATTACGCTGCCCTAGGCTGGGTGACTGTGGATGTATGCGGAGAGGTTCCAAGAAGAGTTGCCCTGAAGGACAGATCGGCCTGTTTATTGGGCCAGGCTATCGATCATCGCATGGACCGCTCTATCAACCATAACAATGGCCACTCGATTTGAGATATAGACAGTGCGAGCATATTATCGTAATCGAAAAGACCAGCCAGATGATATGGGATACAACAAGTAACAAAAACCGAATCTAAACGGATCTGCTGGGAGGACCTAGTTGAAACCAGCTCCGCCACTGACACGCACAACAACGATACCGTATATCAGCCCACCGCAACGAGACACGCAGAAATTCCGAAATCGACCAGCGGGGACTCACTCCGGCAACCTCTCGATCTGGTATTTTCTTCGTGCGACGTACATGAGCGGTACACCGGGTACCTTTCTCAACCTCCTCCTCAAGTCTCGATCACACTGTCAGAATGTGAAGCCAGGTTCCAAGTTCAGCGAAGAAGTCGGGGCGAGCCAGGTAGCAACGCAAGGAGTACTCACGGTGGCGACAACGTAACACTTGTTGACAGTCACTCGGTTGACGAGACAGTCGTCCGCATACGTTCCTTGATCTGTAAATGCCCCAGGACAACGATCACGAGATCCAAAGTCGAAAGTCGTCATTCTCATCCTTTGAGTCTCGATATGGAAGGTGGTCAGAACTCACGGGAACAAGGCAACCTATCGAATCTCGGATCCCTTGCCACCCTGCTCATCCCAAACCATCACAGATAGGAAGCGAGCCAAGTTGTTCGGAATCAGTATCAAGTGCTGAGTGATCGATGAGATAGCTGAGAGAGGGTGAAAGACTGACTTCAATGCCATTCGATATCGAGGTCCGAGCTTCTCCAACTCTGCTAATACGCAATCCGTGATCGTCGGGATACCTACCAAACAGCATGGTAAACGTTCCTTCAGCCTCTTGTTCATCATTTTAATCGTCTTGCTTCGCCAATCTCGACCTGCGAGACCGGGATTTGAACTCACACTTCGCCATCAGACAGTCCATCATCCCCTGGACCAACTCGATCTTGTTCTGAAGCGAAAAGTTGATAAAGTTTGTATCTACCAGTACGCGGTAAGGCGGGCCGAGGGATTCGTTGTGAGACAAGAAGAGGGAGGCAGGGAGCGGGTTACTATAGGATCGAACAAGTCAGGTTGATGGGGAAAGTTAGCCTACAACCCATTTCGTACTCTTGTGACCGGCACGAAAAAGGAAGGGAAGGGAAGATGTTGATAACGCCAACTCACACCCTCTTCTTCTCCTCCTTCTTCTTTTCGACCTCTTCCTTCTTCTTCGCCTTTTCCACGTTCTCCTTCAACCTCGGGTCTGAGGGTTTGATCATCCGCTTGACGGCGGCGAACTTGCGTGTGGTCTTTGCTTTGCCCTGTCATGTCGGGGATGGAGACGAGATTGCGATCAGCTGGGGGAAACCTGGGCAGGGATTCGGTACACCAGCAGGATACCTACCATGATTGCGGATATGTCGTCGTATGAAGGGGTATTGATGTTGAAAGTTCTAGCTTTCGATGACTTCAACCTTGAACCCAACTCCCTGAAAGTCCAACCTTGATCGACCGGATATGAGCGTCGTCTCCAAATAATTCGCGGACATCGGCGACCAGAAAAATAGGCAAATGTCCGCTTCGACTCTTTATGGTGGCTGTTTCAGGCCTGATGAGGAGGAAAAGGATTCGGGTTATGTAATAAGACGATTTGTACGAGTGAATAATATTTACCAGATGATCAGAGAAGTGGAAGTTGTTCAGGATCGCCTCTACTCATCTGCCCTCATGACGACTTTAAAGATCGAAGTTTCAACGCGTTCTACCGGACAAATAATCAGACCATGCGTGCCCTAATTCTGTGTTGATTTTCTTGGAATTGCTCGTCTCCAGAAGAAGGTCTGGCACGATCATCTCAATCTTTTCGTATGTCGGAGAGTGAAAAGAAACTTGACGGGATGTCCTCGTTCGCGCTCAAGCTTCATCGAACCTGCCGCACCTGCTGACAGCCGATCTGCGCTTTTGTACCTAAGAACTTGTTATTGGAAACGGTATTCATCTAATTTACGGCACGACATTTACAAGGGCAACGCTTCTTCGATTGAAACCCATTTCCTCATTTGCAACAAGAATCCGACGCCTTGCCTAGACCGTTCGCCCGCGCTTTCTCTTCGACTTGAACACTACCCTGACCATGAGTCCCAGCCGAGATAGAACTTCCATTACTGTAGAGCTTAGACTTGTTGAACTTCTGGTTGCTGGCAGGAACATCGTTTGAAGGAGACGACGTGAAAAAGTCGCAGGGCTTGAGCGTGATCATGTGCGTCTCGCAGGGCATCTATTCGGAAGCATCGCGTCGTTGTTATCAGTACCGGACGGCTCGGGGATACTTGTGTGCAAAAACGGCTTACCACGGGGAAGTCTTCAACACGGGGATTATGAGTCAAGCCGAAAGTATGCCACAATACCAAATCGGTATCCTCGACCTGCAAAGTGAGACGGTCATGAAAGTCAGACGGGTTTACTACGGCCCGACCTTGTGCAGACTGACATTGTCGTTTCTGGCTACCCAGGATTTAATCCCCTTTGCCTTTCCGTTACTCTGGTTGGTGTACAAACCTCCGGAGTACAGCTCGTCATCCGCGTGTTTGGTGACCCAGATGTGGTGATCACCGAATTCGGCACGCTGTAGGAGAAAACAAGTTGTGTTCAATGACGATGCCGCCGCGCTCGGCTCTGAGAGCTGTACTTACTTGATAAGCGATAGAGTCGGGATGAGCGAGCATGAGTTGAGATGGCTCGGGGACAAGCTTGTATCCGATCGGACGCCCTGAGATCGGGTTGATTTTGCTCGAATTGATGCTATAATGAAGGGGTGGTAAGCGGTAAGTCATGTCCACATACAGATCGTGCTGCTTACATCTTGAAGACACGGTTCTTCTCAGGGGCAGCGTCGGCCCAGCCTGAATGGGTGATGGGGGTCTTTTCGACAGTGTAACCCACTCCGTACAAGTTGTTGGCGGGCGGGTTGGTCTTGTCGAATTTCATGGCTACCGAGTCCTCTTGAACGACCGTGTTATTGTGACCATCGATAGAGGGATCGAGACGGACCGAGAAGAGGTGCTGATGGTTGCTCGCGAGAACGCTATGTAATGCAAAATCAGCCTTGATGTGATATCCCCGCCAGATGACTGGTCCACTGACCCTGGGCTAACGATTGTTCCGTAAGGAGACTTCTCGCCTGGCATTATAGCAACTGTGGACACGATTCCGGTAGCTCTGGTCTCGAGGGTTATATTGGCAGATTGATCGAATCTGTGGAGTCGCAGCCCGTTAGAAGTGATTGATCACGCTAGCCTGCCTGTAGATCACTCACTTCCAAGCAAAGATGTCTGCGTCTCGGACGAGATAACTGATCAGTGAAAATCTTCGCCTCGACATGTGGAAAGACAGCGCTTACATTCGTAGTTGGCACTATTAAGGTGTGCAGAATCCGTGACGTGTAACGCAACAGTAAGCTCAAGGGTTTCGCAGTCCAAAGCTTGGCTTCGTTAACATACACCGTGATCATGCTCTGTACGACCAGAACTCGAGATCGCGTCACGCTTGGATTGCCGGTCCTGAAGTTGGTGTGTTTCCAGCCGATGCCTTTGTCCTGCTCGTGAATGCACACCGTGCCCTTGAGCCCGAGAGGCGAACCGTCCTGCTTGACGTGGTCGAAGTCCAGGTACTGTTGGGAGAGTGGTGCACCATCAATGAACGCTCCAAAGGCTATCCTTTTGAACGAGGTCACTTACGTGTATCTCTCCTAGACAGTCGCAACCAAGCTGTAACTCGTTAGCCTGTCGTATGAATTGGCGCGGGTGAGATGTCATGTCGCGAGGTTATTGCTTGCATCGTTTCTCGACTCACCGTCGAGCCAGCGCCTGAAGTCGATGATGTATGATAGTTCGTTAGCTTCGAACGCTGCTAGAGCGACATATTATTGTATTCCGATACTTGCCACAATCTAAGATGAGGCAGAGCGGATAAGTTGAGGTCGATATGATCGGTCAAGCATATTACGTACCACCGAGGTCGAACGCTTGCTTTCGATGCAATGGGGCCTGCAAAGGAGCCACGAAAATTGAAGCTCGTTCGAGACATTTCCGTCCCACGCCAAAGCTTACGCGAGGGTCTCCGTACGGCACGGTCTATACAGAGTTGGCATATCAATGAGAGGTCATTTGGGCCAAACGTCGGCCCGATCCTGCTCACCATATCAGACAGACTGAGGCGGTAAAATGTCTTGCGTCCATCGTAACGAACATCGCTGATGACGGTACCTTCGCGATAGTTGAAGCCGATATGGAATGACCACTTCTGCCACCTGATGACGCGACCATCCAGAGAGAACTACGAAAGCGGATTACTGTTTGAGCCCAAAACAGAGGGACCATGATACTCGCCCGGATTGACTCACACTAGCTCCTTCAGGCTGAGTTACGTGATAAGGCTTGATATCTCGGCGATAAACCTCCCCGGCTTTTTCTCGTACACTTTGTGCGTACTCGTTCTGCACATATTGCTCCCAAGGGAAAGGTCCATCCAGGTCCTTCACCGTCTTGATGCTTTCTCCCCCAAAGATGGGTGTGAAGGCGATTTCGTGAAGAACGAGCGAGTCGGCTAGGACTGTGGGAACAATCGGAAGAGGTGCACTGTAATGGCAACTGTCGGCATCATCAATGAACCTCATGTAAACCATGAAGCTGATGAAGCGGGGACAGTCCTCCGACGAGTCGGCTCCATAGATCCAAGCGTCGGCCACGACCGTAGCGTTTGCGGGTAGCTGGAGATCGGCTATGACCTGCTTGAACTGGGGATCGTTCAAGAGAGCCTCTTCGGCTGCTACCGCTTCTTCTCCGTCCAGCGCCACGTGTTGACCTTCTGGGACAGCTTGTTTGCTTGCTACATGGCCCGGGGAGCCATCTTCACCCTTCAAGGTAACGACGTAATCTGAAATGGCATGAGACAGAGGCACGTCAACAAGGATGTCTACGTCCGGCAAGTCCAGAACTCCGCTCAACTTACCATACCACTGGGTGTCTCCCTGTTCTTTGCGACCGACCAGCACATGTGCTTGCCGAGGTAGTCGGCTGGGTGTAGTACCAGATTCGACGGCAGCGTGCCACTCATCGAGATAAGGGGCTAGCGCACTTTTGGGGGGTTCCAAAAGTCCGATCCCCTTGAAGTGCAGTCTAGCTTGACCTGGAACGGCTCCACTGATGCCATTCGCTTGTCGCACGATGTTAACGCACTCTTGGAGTTCTTGGGCGGAGAGAGGGTCGAGCGGATGGTAAGTCGCTTGTGGTTTCATAGCTTGAGCGGTGATGCCCAGCGATTGCATGACGGTTTGGATGGTCTGCATAGCGTGTGATTGGTGTGTTGGTTGAAGAATGTATGTCTGATCCTGTTCATCGCTCGATCGCATTCGTGCTGAACTTTTATACTTCTTCTAGGTAAGCTCCTGCCCGAAGGATGAGGTGGACACCTTCTCCACGGCCGAGAGTTTGTTGGCGGTCTGGGCGAAACTGGCGAGGTTAGCGAGAGGCGGACAACCACCATAACAACAGCGATAACCGCCCGAGGTGGCGCGGCTCATTTGCTTCCGTGCGTAGATTAGAGGTTAGGGTTTGGCGAGGTTGGCGAGCGATACGATAATCGCGCCTCGTTTCTGCATTGGCGACTTTGGCGAGTAGTATGATATGGCATCCTTCAGCCGTCAGAGGACGATAAGGGTATATTTGGTACCTATACAGATACCGTGCTCGGGCATCGTTATCTCGAAGTGAAACTCACCGAGCGAACGGCATCATGCGTTGGCTACAAAGCTTGAGCTGTCAGGGTACCCCCAACGATGCGTTGGATAGTTATGTGGCCTCGCAGCGTTCCAGGTCTGATACAACGGGACCCTGACATCCCGACGCGTTGCAATGTCTCTCGACCGGAATGAACATCAAGCCTTCCCAGACTTCAAGGACAATAGGAAACCCTGTGCATCCACGCAGGTGGTCAACCCAGTCGACCCCTCCGAGTACGCGCTGGAAGTAGACGATGAGCAAGCCCCGCCCGCTCAGCTTCAGCAGTCCTTCAGCGGCATGGCGGCCTTTGGATTCTGCTTTGCCGTCTTGAACACCTGGGTCGTCCTGCTAGCGGGATTGGGCGCGGGGCTATCCTCCGGCGGACCCACCGCTCGTAGGTCCCATCGTCGGCCCAACGAAGTGAACGATCTGCTGATCGGATGTATACATTTGCAGTTATCTGGGGGTTCGTCTATGCCATCGTATGCAACTTGGCATTGACGTTGAGCTTGTCGGAAGTGTTCTCCGTGTACCCAACGGCAGGGGGCCAGTATCACTGGGCGGCCATCTTGACATCGCCTCGGTCCGTCTTCGCCTAACATCCTTCGTCGTCAAGCTCTACCTGATCGAATTGAATGCAATTTTCCAGACGGAGCGCCATGGCCGCTTGGTTCACGGCTCTCATCAACTTAGGCGGCCTTTGGGCTGGCGTGGCAACTCAAGCGTATCTCGCCTCGAACATGATCGTGGTGATGTCTTTGGTGAACGAGACCGATTGGGTTCCAACGCCAGGCGAACAGTACGCGATCTACCTCGGCATCATCGTCTTCGGGCTCGGAAGCTCCCTTGTCTCGGGTATCAAGTTCACGCGTAGGCTGGATTCGAGCATGACTTGGGTATCGATCTTGGGATTAGCAGCCTTTGCGATCACGATCCTCGCCATGGCGAAACCGAAGGCGTCGGCCGTAAGTGACCGGATGTGGACAAGCGCTTGGTATGGTGGTATTGACTTCTGGACTTTCAGAGCTTTGTCTTTACGGGTGTCTACAACTTTTCAGGTTGGAACTCGACAGCCATCGCCTGGTTGATCGGTCTGCTCAACTCCTCCTTCGCCTTCGTGGGGTTCGACCTGTAAGGTATCGTTCCCGGCCTCCAAGATTGTATGCTTCCAGCTAAACTAGACGATTGTTCATGCTTTCTAGCGTCTTTCACATCAGCGAAGAGATCCCCGATGCCAAGCGCAAAGGGCCTCAGATCCTGAATGCTACGGTGATCGTCGGAGGCATCACAGGGATGTTTTGCCTTTTGTCACTCCTCTTCTGTCTCAGCGACATTGAAGCCGGGTTAGGAACGGCTTATGGGTTTGTTGGCCGTGAACTCGATTCCATAGCACTGACGCTGATCGGCCTTCGCTGCGGTAGGTTGCCCTTCGCACAGATCTGTATGGACGCCACGGGATCGAAAGCTGCGACAACCGTGTTCCTCATCATACCGACTTTGCTCTTATGTTACGGTTCTCGAGGATGTCAATTGACCGCATCGAGGATCATGCTATCCCTAGGGCGAGATTCCGGCTTGCCCTGGTCCCATTCGTTCACAAAAATCAGGTCGGGCGAACCATACGTCGGGCTCATCGTCTCGAGCGTCGTCCCGCTCCTAGCGGGTTTGGTCCAGATACGTGCGACCTCGGCATTCAACTCGTTGCTAGGTACCGCCGTCATCCTGCTCCAGGCGTCATACGGCAAGTCGCTTAGCGAATCTTGATCAGGGACTGACAGCGGCAAGTGCTGATCTGAGTACCCGTATCCTTCCCGTAGTCATCCCGGTCGTTCTGATCATGTTCGGAGGGAGGTCGCAACTGGATTCCACGCATCCAGATAGACTCTGGAACCTAGGTCGTTTTGGTCTGCCATGTAACGTCATCGCCTGCTTCTTTGTCGTGCAAAGCATCGTGATCTATTGCTTCCCAGCGACGCAGGTGAGGTTCATCCTCGGCTGAACGAATGTCCGATGAGCTGGCTGATGGTTTCTCGGCATCGTGCGTCTCAGCCTGTGACAGCAACCAGCATGAATTATGGTGGGTCTGATGCCCGCCCCTGACAGACAGAACGGCTCTCATCCGTCGCTTATTCCTGTTCTCTGGTAGTCTCTGCGTTTGTCGGGGGTTACCTTGTCATTCTGACGGCGCTTTGGTATGGATGGATGCGAAAGCGTTTCCGAGGTCCTAGCGTGAGTCGACGGTGCCGAGTAGTTCATATTCCTGTCACGAGGGATGCTGATGGTCCGTGCGCTATGCAACAGGAGATCGAGATCCAGGCGGTCGTCGATCGATGCTCTTTGCCGAAAAGCGAGGTCGTTCGCGGGTACGAGTAGCGAGAAGGGATATGTGTCAAACAGAGAGGAGCCCTGGAGTCCTGATAATCCTGGGAAGTGTCAATCATCCAAATGCTGGCAGATCTATCTGTAGCTCTGTAGTACTGTAATCCTGCGATACGTCGTTGTATGACTTTAGAGCTTTGAAATGTGCAAGATGCAAGATGCGAAATGACGGAGTTGAGCGGGCCGAAAGCGTAATCTTATCAAGTGACCTCCGAGTTGGAAGAGAAGAGTCACTCGGATAGTCAACTTCTGATCTAGCTTCTGATCGTTATACTGTGATTGTATCGCTCTACGATCTACCTACCGGTACACAAACCTATTTAGGAGCTACCTTGTGCACTTGATTGCTTGTGGACCCATCTCCCTCTGCTGAAGACCGGTCCTGCTGCAGAACAGGCCTGATGGCATGTCACAATCACCTCGCCCGAGCAATACGGCCAAACCGGGAAGAAGGCGGACGGGATGCTTGGTCTGTCGGAGTCGGAGGGTCAAGTGCGACGAAAGTAGGCTTCAAACGGATTACAATCACAACGAACTTCGGGCGGTATGTCTGACCGACGGATCTCTGAACATCAGCGAGACCAGCATGCGAGAGATGTTCGAGATATGGGGCCGAGGTACGTCCAGCCAGACCAGCCATGGACCTAGGTCCGAATTGAGCTCATCTTGATGACTCCATAGTGCAAATACCCAGCCATCAAGGCCTTTGATCAGGACGAAGTAGCTGCCGCTCTAGCGAGAAGACATTCCAAAGAAACCAAGAACAAGAGACCAGGATTCGTACCGGCTACTCCTCCTCCACCCGGACCATCGTCTTTCGAAGCTAGGGTCAACGCTGGAGCTGGACCAAGTCGGATCATTGCCGCTGAGCGAGGACATACGGGTGATCATGCCGAAGAACCGCTCGATCTCCTCCTCGCCGTAGGACGTAATACGAGGATGGGCGAGTATTACCTGGATTGCACGGCACCTCCCGATTTCCTAAAGTTGGCTTTTCCCTCGGAGGACGATTTAAGATGCGTAAGCCCGGTTTACGACCTCCTTAATCTAAAATCCCCCCTCAATCGAATAATGGCTACTTTCTTGCTTTCAAATCTGCGGCTTAGATCCACCACTGTATCACCTACTCGCTAAGCATCTGGGTGGTCGACGAGAACAATGCGAATCCATGGGTCGAGCACGTTGCTCCGATCTTCCTCTTTCCTACCCCGGAAGCGCCCATCTCTGTCGCTGCTTTACGGTCGGCAATGCTAGCTCTCGGTGCGACCCACTTGTCATAGTGAGCACACCTTCATCCTCTCGTGTCCAAGAAACAGTGTCTGATATCTGTGCTCAATATAGCCTACAGAAAAGGTCCCAGTCTGTGGAATGGGAGAGGACTCGAGCGCTTGCGAGTCGGTATTTCGACGATGCTCTGCGGGCTTGTCGAACTGGTCGATCGATCCCGGAAGAGCTTGCCAGTGATACCTTCTTGACCGCTGGAATCGCCCTCCTTACAGTCTGCGTGAGTTGAGAGTGCCGGTATGATGGTATACAAGGCGTAGTGCTGATCGTCTGGCTCAGATCTTTGCCGGCGACAGAGGATGGAAGGAAGTCTGGAGATACACGCTCGCCGCGATCAATTATCGAGGAGGGTGTGCCGTCATACTCGGTCTGGGACGAGAGCCCGACTCAACGAAAAGGACACCGCTGCTTCGGTGTGTCATCGAGCATTTCGCATTAATGGATGTTTGGGGTAAGGCAGTCTGAGTTAAGGCGAGACGCTGGCGAGCAATGCTGATCTTCTTCATTTCTGGTCGCTATGGGTAGCCGCGATGACTACTGGGACTTCCCCGATCATCTTGAACAGCGATTCCGAATGGTGGGAACGTTTAGGTCATATAGACGACGCTACCGGAACGGTGAGCCCGGTAGTCCGGCTGTCATGTTGGTCCGCTACTCAAATCCGGATTCATTTTCTGCAGGCACAAACCTTCGAAGCCAGGTTCGGCATGGACCGACATCTCGTTAGATGCTTTGCGACCGTGGCAGATTGCATTCATCAACGAATCAGGCTTCAGGAACGTACAGGCTCATGGCTGGGCGCTTCACTCGGTTCCCACTCTGCGTCGGAAAGGCGAGATCTGGAGCTGAGAACCCGGTCGGTCTCATCGGAACTTGAGGATTGGTACATGGAGACGTCCTTGATCGACAAGGAAAGCAGGACGAGGATTGGATCGATGACGCTATGGCACGCTTGTCGGATCCTGGTCCATCACGATATCGAACAAGCGTCTTCGACGGATGAGGCGGTACGAGCGGACGCATCGGCGATCATCGACCTGTGCATGGAGTCGGGCGACAAGGTCGAGTGTCTGAACTGGGTGAGCACTTCTCCAACTTATCGCTCGTTTGAGTTGATACCATAAGACTCAATTTCAACGCTGTTTAGCCACTCTTGATCGCTTCGAGCGTCATGCGTGACGCTGGTGATCGCGATCGTGTCCGTCAGCTCTTGAAGATCTTTGCATATCAGTGCTGCTACGAAATCGAGATACTGAGCTGCACCGTTGAAGCCATGTGGGTACGGCTGGATCAAGGGAGAGATGGCGAGGCTACGAGTTGGAGAGAAGTCACGGTTGAGATAGGCTGGCCGGTGCTGATCGGTTAGAAACGCCTAGAGTTCGTCCCGGCATATGATCACATGCCATCATGTCCCGGGAATATGATCTGCTTGGGATTCTTGTCACAGATCTTCAAACAGAGCGTCCGAATCCCAGTCCGTGATGGTCCTGCTCGTGTCGCCGATCTAACGGGATCTTGGGCCAGCGAATGGGACATACTTTTATCACGCAGAGCCATGAACAACGCAGATGTCGATCGAATCACTGAATTACGATCCGCCTGCTCACTCTTCAGTGACCTTACGATGCCTTGACACCGTACCTGTTCCACAGCCACTCGATTTGCACAGAATTGGGTACGCGAATCACCCTTTGATGTGTTTCACAGCGATTGTGCGCGACCGATGACGCGCAAAGCACAACTGGCACTGCATGACGAGCGCCTCCTGTTCTCCTTTGTACCTAGAATTCGTGATCAGGAGTACATTGTGTGATAATCAGAGTTCGTGTGTCAGCGCAAGATACACGTGTATATATATGGAGAACATGAAAACCCCGTTGCCGTCCAGATTAGGATTGAAGCGCCACCTGGTCATCAGCGGTAACCACGTTGCATCCCCTACCCCTTCCGACCTACAATCACGCTCTTACCTCACAATGGCCTTTAGCAACAAAGCCTTCGACCACATCTACGAGCTGCGATACGATGTATGCGACGCCATTACGGAAAAGGCAGACTCTACTCGAGAGGAACACGCGCTCGTCAGACTGTTTTACAACAAGGTTTTCGAGCACACGCGTCAAAGGTCGGAGCTGTCCGCACAGGCAGTCGAGCAGTGTTGGAGGGAGAACCACGTCGAGCTGAAGAGGCTCTTCCCTTTCCTTCCTGATCTCTACACCGGCAAGGTGTCTCAGGTCTCGGTGAAGGAGAAGGCAGGGATCTTGGCTCATTCGAAATGATGTGTGCGTCGAAACGCAGAGCTCTACGTGCACTAAGATCTGAATGGCACCGCGGTTAGTTATCAGCATCACGAACGTAAAAGTTGATATCAGGATTGAACCTGCGAACATCGGTACATGCCTCTTGATTTTATCCGTCTTCTTGCTTCTTGATCCCTTTGTACTCAGACTGACTTGACAGCATGCAAGAAAATTGGATCGCCTGATCGGCCTAGTCCTGGGTGGTCTCATTTTGCAACGTCTGCATCGTGATCGGCCGTCGAGAAGATACACTTGATGATTGATAGCGCAATCTCGGTAATCCATCTCAAAGGCCTTACCTAGGCTCCACCGATAGCCGATCTGTAATCCTAACGTAGTACTGCCAGCGATGTCGTCGCAAGCCTTCAGTGGTGATCGCATCTCTGTATGACCTGGTTGGCACCCGTTCCTCAAGGTACAGATTTGACTATGTCGGCTCCCACAAGGTGACCCCGTTCCTGTGGGTTTATTTAGCGTCGTATCTCATCAACCATTCAAAGAGGAAACTCAGTCTCGGTGTATCTCGACGCTGTCTCGAGCTTCTCAAAGGGGATGATCGGGAGGTTACCCTTTCTCGATCTCCTTGAATGACATGGCTCTTGGCCCTGCACTACGTCCCGACCCATCTCTTGAGCGCAGGCTGCATTTGGGTTGAGTGCACGTTGCCTGTCAGGTCTTGAAGTCGCAACTCTCTGTGCGACTCCAAGTCTGAAGGCATCGAGTGGAAGGATTTTCTCTTTTCCAACCATCGCTCGATATCGATAAGGCTCTGAGGGGCTCCTCTCAGGTTGCGGTACTTGTCCTCCCATTGGGCCATCGCATTCATGATCAGGTTGGGATGCTGTCCACGACCCTTGTACCTTGTCAAGGTTGTTGGCTTTCCCCGATTAGATGACTTTCGACATCGCGTTCGACTGCAAGTCCGTCGATAGGAATTTAATAACCCCGAGGGTTGAGACGCTGACGACACTCCCATTGCCGCTCCCGTTCCCGCTTTTCCTCTTCTGCCCCTTTTGCAGAACCCTTTTACGGCCCTGTATCGCGTACTCATAAGTCGGTGAAACTATATCTTCCTTCGAGGTTTCGAGGCCATCATCTGTGATCACCTTCTGTACAGGAACCCTGAAACTGAGGCTGAGATGACCATATATATCTCTCCTGGGCGGTACGTAAGCATGTCCTTTTCTGATAGTCGTGGGCATGGACGGACAGGGACTTTCTGGCTTGATTTCTGTGAGTCTGCTTTGTTGGTCTTGCCGGGCGACTTTTTTGGCCACGTCGCTTCGATAGAGCTCCTTGGTGGTTTGTGATTGAGGAGGGAAAAAAAAGGATTTTCTAGTTTCGAACCCTGACGAACCCGCATTGATTTAACATAAAGCTGCTACTCAAATTGATCAGCTTCTCCGGCGTAGACTCACACTCGATCGAGCTTCACTTTCTGTTTCATGTGACATGCCGGAATTTTGTTTGTTTGGCGACGTCATTACTGGCAGGGACCTTCCCGGCCTCTTACTACACAAATAGAGTGCGAGTAGAGTAGTTCTCTCGTGACCCATTACCGAGGGTAAAGGAGATCTGTGAATAGGATTCCAGGGACTAACGACTAGACATGACATCAGCATATACTAGTACATCGCCCGGGTCAGAGATCAGAGTTCTAAAGGATCGGCCATCTGGATTATCGTCCGCCAGTAGAGAAGACATACATTCTACTCTGTCGATCGTCGATATGGCGGCGGCTTGCAGCGTGAAGATGAAACATCACAACCACCATCTAGGATCACGTGAGCAGACATCAAATAAAGGTTTGGTCCCGACCCGTTCGATCGCGACTCAGATTTATTTCCGATATCCGGGGTTGCCCCCTTTTTCCGAAAGCCGGCCGCGATGCCGAGACCCGATCGAATTCCTGGTTGATCGCGGTGACAGTGACAGGTTGGTTGACGATCTACACCCCTTCGATCGACAAGCCCAGGCCCAGCCGACAGCAAGTGATCAAACTAGCCTGATCAGCTGATCGCAAAAGCTCGAGCTATGCGAGCTACTCGCCACCTCCACGAAGACTAGCCTCCCAAGCCATATCCATACCCCGATCAGCTGCTTCGTTCCCCGCCATCCCATCCTCCCCGCCTACCCCGCAGCAAGAAGAGGTCGTTGTCGACTGTCGCGCTAAGAGTAAAGTCTCGCACTAATTTCTTGTTCATCTAATCTCGCGCGACAGAGAGAGGGGGACAAGTCCCGCTGTGACTGGGCCCTTTGGTCCGATTGTACTACGCTGTGCCCAGGACAAGAGAGGGAGGAACTAGAGGAACGTGCATTGAAGTTCCGTTCGATTCATCCATTCGACCCAGACCACGTAGGCCACGTACCACCCCATGTGCCAAGCGGGGGCGATATGGCGAGATGGCGATGGCTGGGCAGCTGCGACGCGACATCCCCCTCTCCTCACCCGTATGATTGCGTGTCGTGGACTAGATATATAAAGGAGTGACCCCATTTGTAACACCTCCCCTCCCCCCACTCGTACAGCACACACAGCCACCCAAATCGTCACCTCATCCATCGCCATCGCACGTCATACCTAGACCACAGCCTCTCCTTATCCTATCTCTTGACACCTCGGATCGTATAAACTCGGGTCACACCCAGTCGGATTATCGAGAGACCTCATAGTTTGGCCATCTAGGCTAATCCGACGTATTCGTGCACCCCGACCTATTCCATACACCCCTACACCTCATTTCTCACGCCGAGCAACCTGATAACAACTCACACTCCACATAACCTCATTCGACTGCGTGAACCCCACTCACCATGTTCACATCACTCCTCTCCATCCCCCTCCTCGCATCACTCTTATCCATCACCACTCAATCTCACCTGGTCTCCGCCGCACCCACCTCGAACTCGCATTGGAACCAGACTCTCGAAGCTCGACAGGGCGTGAATACCGGGTTCCCGTATGGGAGCGAGAAGGTCAGGGGGGTTAATTTGGGGGGGTGGTTGTTACTCGGTAAGCCTATAAGCCCTCCATCTCTTGCTCTCCCGTCTCTTTTTTTTTTTCTTCCTTCGTTTCGATCTTTCTTGGGGATGACGAGGAAACTAATAATATATCACCTTATGCGATCCTCTATCTCTATGTATACATACTGTAGAACCGTTCATAACCCCCTCCATATTCGACCCTCTCGACGGGAGCATCGTCGATGAATACACATTCGGGCAAAACCAAGATCGAGGTGCAGCGGAGGGCAGGTTGAGGCAACATTGGGATAGCTGGATTACGAGGGATGATTTTTATCAGATCAGGGCTGCTGGGTTGAGTGAGTCCGGACCTTGCGATGCAATTATCATTTTGATGAAGATGGGACGATGGATTATGATGGGGAGGTTCGGGCTGGGGGGAGGTGATCCGCGGCGACGATCCCTCCGGCCCGGATCGATCCCTGTCTTCTACCTACACCTGAAACTCCAACCCCTTGATCGCCGTTTACTGACAACCCCTTCCTTTTGTTCTTACCTTCCTCTGCAGACCACGTCCGTCTGCCCATCGGCTACTGGGCCTTCGTCTCCGCCGACGAAGCCTACCCCTACATAACCGGTTCAAAGGAATACCTCTACCGAGCAATCTCTTGGGCCCGAGAGACCGGTTTGAAGGTGATCATCGACCTACACGGTGCGCCGGGGAGTCAGAACGGGTTTGATAATTCTGGACAGAGGGGGAGTGCGAATTGGGGGTATAACCAGGGAGATGTACAGAGGACCAAGGAGATTGTGGAGGGGATCTCGAGGGAGTTTAGTGATCCGCAGTATTATGGGGTGGTCACCGCTTTGGTGAGTGGATTCGAGAGTCGGATTGGTGGTCCTCTCGATAGACACCTTTTTTTCTCTTTGTTGACCATCTCGATTTGACTTGGACCTCCAGGCGATCCTGAACGAACCCGCCGGCTTCACCTCGTCCTCCTACCTGGCTACCACCCGTCAATTCACCATCGATGCCTTTTATGCCGCTCGGTACCCCTGGGCGAGTCAGGGGAACAATGCCAAGAGCGGATTGTTGATTATCTATTCGGACGCTTTCCAGCCTAGTGAGTTTGAGGGGATTGGCAAATCGAAAGAAGAGGGGTTTGTTTCTATGTTCGCGATTATTGACATTGGGCTTCGTCTCGCCTTCGCTCGACAGGCAACTACTGGAACGGCGTTTTCAACTACCCTGACGCCACCGACGTCGCCCTCGATAACCACGTCTACCAGGTCTTCTCCCCCGCCGAGAACCAACGATCTTGGGGAGAACACCTCACCTCGGCCTGCAACTCGGGCGGCAACCTTCGAGCTTCGCCCAACTGGCCCATCGTCGGCGAATGGAGCTTGGCGGTGTACGACTGTGCGAGGTGGTTGAACGGACGTGGGATCGGGGCGAGGTATGATGGGAGTTACCCGGGGAGTTATTATATCGGGAGCTGTGGAGAGTGGAACACTGGGAGCGGTCAAGGGTTCTCCAAGTAAGCCTTTCACTTCCGTCGCCTCGATCATCTTGTCATGCTTGACCCGAGTCTGATCATACTCTCGTTTGGGTGCGACTTCACAGCGAATACAAGACCTTCCTCAGGGACTACTTTGACACCCAAACCCAGACTTGGGAGAATAACGGTCAAGGTTGGATCTACTGGTCCTGGAAGATGGAGAACGCCGCCGAGTGGTCCTACCAGGCCGGATTGAACGGAGGTTGGATCCCTTACAACCCGACGGAGCACAACGGGTACAAGTGTTCCTAAGCGTTGCACCAGCTATCCTTTCTCCGCCTCCAGTGGATAGATGCCAGTTGAAAGCATTATTCTCAGCATCAGAATCGGTAACCCCCGGGGACTCATGGGTGGGCGACATGAAACGTTCGACCTTGCGAGGCGCGGGGGGTAAAGACCGATTGTTTTTGTTCTAATTATCTTATATACCTTGTCGAACCGTAATCAGAATCGAGAAACCCTTAGCATATATGTAGCCGCAATTCTTCCCTTGTCTTGTCTTGTTGATCACTACCCACGAAACTAGAAATCAAATCATACATGAAACCATGCGATACAATCCTATTATTGATTAGTTCGTATCGGTCGAAGTGGCGTCCAGATCAACGTCGCACAGCCGTATACGGACGCAAGGCGATTTGATGTGTTTCAGTATTAGACAGCGACAACGGTTTCAGCCTTCTCCCCCTCGACGCGGTTATCGTCTATCAGCGCTCAGCGTCAGGGTAGTCCCGGCAAAACGGACGAGGATTGTCATATTCTAAGAGGAAGAGGGACGATAGAATGCGGGAGGACAAGGGCTTCATGGATGGGCACTATCTGCTGTTCTTTCCCACATTTGTACGGTTGTGCTGAGCTCGGTTATCTTTTTCTCTTTTGTTGCACCCGCCTCGTATCGACAGCTCGGATCTTCGCCAAGGTCGACTGCTACATCGTCGACGTCGACCAGCAGCAGCAGTGGCAGCGGCAGGTGGTAGCGTCAAGATTATACCCGCAAAAAAGACAAAGATCATCAAACCTAGAAGGAAAAAGGATCAAAAGGATCATGCCTAGAAGGGAAGGGAGACGCAGGTGGTCAAAGGAAAGGTCGTTCGGTTTGGTTTGATGTACTGTTCTCTGCTCGATGTACTTTGCTGTTCGCTGGGATCGCTGGCTGTTCTTTGTCGATTGTTGATTTCTCACGGTTGTACTTCATGTTCTTTTGTTCGAGAACTTCGAGCTTCTCATCAGTTCATCAACAGATCGACACACTACTACTATTATCGCATGTCACTACATTACCCTTTATTAATTATTAAACAGCCTCGCATAATCTCCAACACTCTAGTAGCATCTCCCAAACAGCTCCAACATGTGTTTCAACTCCAGAGCCAAACGACAGCGATACAGACAGTTTGGACGGCGCACATGTTTGGCAGCCAACTTGATTTTGACGATGATATCAAAGACTTTTTCTTTCTTCCGCCCGGCCGTCCCCCAGGGCTAGCTTTGAGGTCGTCACGGACGAGCACATGCTTGAGATCATGAGCAGAGGTAAGGAGTCACAGACGTTAGGAATTAGGGGAGTCAGGTTCAGACTTAGGGAATTTCAACTGTACTGCAGATCGACGGGCAGCCGCCATCGACGTGATGTCAGATACCTGTTAAAGGGGTAATATGTATCCGGCTCTGTGCATCGTCGTTGACAAGTTTGAAAATCTTCGTCAATCAATTACCTTGAGGAGATGTTGCATTGCGAGGCGTCGAGTAGATATTTTGCGCTCACGTCGCAATATACGGGACGATCACACAGGCTCAGGCGCCGGCTTACAGGGCAAAACACATTTGATAGCCTCCGAAAAAGGGATGTCTCAACCATAAGAAGTGGTTTCTATAGTCACCTTACCACCCGACAGCATAAAATGACGGCTGAAATCGTCACGGCCATTATTTGGAACCCTACTGAAACGGCATCTGCATCTTGCACATTGGTATTTGCTTGACCTTCGTGACGTCTTGTTCTACTTTTGTAGCCTATTCCAGCGATACATCATCGTGATCCTCGAAGCACTGATCCAAGGTTACTAATGCTATAATCTCTCTCATTTCTATAATGACATCTAAAGGCACCATCTACTCGTTCATGAATCCCGACTCGCGCCATTGGGCTACCATCTTCTTGATCAGTTCCGACGAAACTGGTTTGCAGGAAGCCAAGGCGGGCGAGAGCGCCACGGCTTCGCTTGTTGAGACAGGTGCTGCGGGTTTGTTGCCAGTCTTCTCGTCACCGTACTGCATGCAATCGATCCGGAAGCATGAGTAACAGCTAGAGGCTACCGTCTGATGGGATGCAAATTGACTCACAGCGCCTCGCCACATCGAGAGCATCTTTCTGCTCGGATTGGTTGTCTCATCCCCCTCGGATATGTCGACAGCTTCGACCCATTCGGTAGCGTCGACAGTCTCGAAAGAAACGTCTGCTTCGATCAACCCGCTCAGGATGTCCTCCCACGTGTTAGGCAACGGGTTGGCGACGTGAGCGACGAGCGGGACGTCGGGCCGGTTTGTGAGGGCAATCTCCATGCTAGATACCAACGAGAGGATAAGCCCAGTCTTGCTTGCATTGCGTCTCGTTGCGACTCACACGGCTGAAGCTGCAATATCGACGGGGAGCCAAGACGGGTCCTGAGTCACAACCAAGAGGGATGTCAATCGGCACCGTAGCGGATCTTTAAAGGCTGGCAACGCACCTCGTTCAACTTGGGCAGTCTTCGTGTCGTTCCCGCTGTCCGCAACATCAACGGCCAACCTTCGGACTCGTTCCAGATACCGTGTTCGACGTCCCCACAAAGCTGGCCTATCCGCAAGACCTGTACGCGATCATGTAGCGCTGTCGAGGCGGCCTTGCCACAGATCTGCTCTGTCACCCATTTGGATTGACTGTATCCGATCGGTATTGATGTCGATGGACTGCTAGAAAGTCGTTCCGGGATCGGGTCGTCCAGACTTGCGCCGTTCAGCACACTCGCCAAGCTAGAGCAGAAAAGTAGCTTTGCGTGATGCGACGAGGCTGCGGCGAGATCGAGCAGATGGCGAGTTCCTGTATGGTATGAAGAAATCAGCCGGAGCGAATCATGTCGCATATCGCAGCGTGTCCTCACCTCGAATGTGGTCGTTCTCAAAAGAATCCAGCCCGCTACCAAAGTGTACGGCCCAGGCAGCCTGTAACGACGCAGCATCAGCTTGAATTTATTGTTGAGGATCCGCGCCCCTGATCTCCACTCACATGTATGATAATGTCCGCAGAATCTACCAGTTGATCATATGCCGCCTGTTCAAGGCCAAGATTCGTCTTCCCTAACCGTGCAACAACGACGGTATATCGTTTGGGAGTGGCGACCAGTCGTCGGGCGAACAGAGCTTTACGGACTCGCTCTGTTGCTGCCTCTGTAGTGTCACCCCGAACCAGGCAGACGATATGCTTGACTTCGTCTTCCGGTCGATTCGCCAATTGTGCTAGCAAATGGGAACCCAGAGAGCCTGTGGCACCTGTCAGAATCTGTCTCGAAAAAATCAGCCATGGGATCGTTCTAGACACCAAGTTGTTCGTCGACTGACTATCGTCTTGCCACCTGGCGAGGAGGGTCTTCCGAGGTCATGTTGTTTACTCGCGGCCACGTCCGAGAAATCGCTATAGTTTTCGACCAAGGCGAGCATCCTCTTGTGCTGTTCGTCGGCGGTACTCGACTTGACTTCTCCTCCTTGTCGAAGCGATGAGCATAACGCAGCGAGTCTATGAGGCAAAAGCTGATCAGTCGTGAGCAATCAACTCTAGTCAGGCCTGATGCTTACCTGCGCACGGTACTATATTCGAAGACCACATTCATGGGCAAGCTTTGGCCGCCCAGATTCAGGTCCTGAGGAAGGATATCAGCAGCTGTCGATGTTACCTCCGACACGCGCCCGACTCACCTTCATCATGGCAAACCTCAACCTGGCCGCCTTGACCGAGTCCACACCCCACGAGAACAAGTCGGTCTCGGCATCGAAGACGTCCTGGTTGTACCGCTTGCCATCGCCCATGATCTCGCCAACCTTGTCGACGAGCCATTTTTCCAGCTCCTCGCCGGTGATATCTAGCTTATCTCCACCGGCACCGTTGGATTCGCCGTACAACGCGTCAATCTCGTCCTTGTAGACGTCGTAGGCGACTCCTCGTTGGATCGTCCCTTTGCTGCTTTTTGGTAGAGCGGCTGCTCGATCGGGATCAGAGATGACGAGGCACATTTCGTCCCCAAGCTGAGCGTGTGAGGGAGATTGTTCATTGGCCTGGGCGATCAGATTGGCGAGTTGTTTGACCAGGTCCGAGGGTGGAGGGAATGTCCGAGGGAAGAGGAGACATCCGATTTGAGGCTTGTTGCTCCCGACAACGAGAACGTCGGCGATTAAGTTCGAAGGTCGGAGTATCGTCTCGATGGGTCCTGGTGGCATTTTCTCTCCGTTCGACTGTGGTGCGGGACGATCGATCAGTATGGCAATGGAACCGGACGTGAGATTCCCAGACTGACCATGACGAGCACATCGTCCCCCCGACCCGCATATCTCCATACATTCGGCTTGGTCGCATGCCGTTCATAAATATCGCCCGTCGCATAGCTCCCATCCGGTCGATTCGATTTGACCTTTCAATCAAATCACCGCGATAGTCAGCCTTGCTGTTTCACTTGTCCAGATACAAACAGCGCCGCATGTAACGATTGAAGCGACATACCTTGCTACGCCACTCGTTGGTCACCACCATCTCCGCCTTGCTCCCCTCGAACGGCTCGAACACCAGTGCAGAGGCATAAGCGGAATCGTTATGTAACCATTCCCACTCCTTGTCCGTCTTGAAATCTCGGTACGACGTCAACAGGACTGTCCATATCGACGTTGAGAAACCGGTCAGTGCGGAAACGTCGGATCGATGTGTCGAAAGGTAGGTGCTGGAGAGCGATACTCACACCCGCATTCACTGCTGCCCAGACGGCTGACGAGGTTGACACCCCGCTCGACCAACCCGTCCCCAACAACCTTGTCCAACGGAGCTCCCCCCGTACTGACAATCTCCATCCCTGCCAAAAGGGCCGTGGCACCGTTCTTATCCTCAGGGTCGCTAGCGGGGGAAAGGAGCGTCAAGATGTAAGGGACCGAGAGGAACGAGGTTATCGGACACCGACTTCCTTTTGGTGAGAGGATTTGGGTTTGACAGGCAGAGACGGAGTCCACGATAGAGCGGGAGGTGATCGGGCTCGTACTGCTGGGAAAGAGGTAAAGCGTACTCCTAGCCATCCAGGCCCGTAACAAGTCGGAAATTCCCCCATGGAAAAGCGGGGTGGTGGTAAAGGCCGATTGGAGCGTATCGGCGTGTCCCATGTCTCTACGAGGGAGGGCGAGGACTTCGGCACGGTGGAAATGAGGGATGGGTTTGGGTGTGCCGGATGTACCTGAGGTGTGGAAGATGTGGGATGTACAGTCTGGGTGAGGAGGTTCGGGTGGCCAGGTTGGGTCGAAGGGAATGGCAGGGAGGGATGAGATGGAAGGGAGAAGAAGGAGTGGGATAGAAGGGGATTTTTGGTGGGCGGATTCGGCTAGGTCTTGGTATCGCGGGTGATAAAGCAAGTGTGTCGATTTCGTCGATTCCAACAGGTGTGAGACGGCCGATGCTGAGCATTGCGGGCTAGAAGGAGCGACGGGGTCATGTATCCTTCAGCATAGATCTAAGAGACGGAGGTGTTGAGGGTACTCACGCTACGAAGACCACCCCGAGCCCGAGCCCCATACAAGCTATCCAAGCTACCAAGAAATCCAGGCCGGTCGGGCATAATAGCGAGACGATCTGGTTCTCTTCCGGGGACGTCGAAGTATGTCCAGCGAGGTTCAGTTGAGGGCGGATGTTTTCGGCAGAGCTCTTTGAGAGCTGGACGAGTTGTTTGTAGGCTGTTTGCGTAGCGGAATGCAGAGCAAGTGATAGAAGTCAGCTATATCGTCTTTTAATGGGAATATCGCTCGATCGAGTGAAATGAGAAAGGACTTGCAATATTCTTCACATCCCCAGCCGTCCTTCTCCGACGAAGATGAAGATCCAGATGCTGATGTGCTTTTCGGGACGGCGAAGCCGACTACAGGTCGATCTTGCAGCTCTCGAGCTCCTTGCCTGACGAGCTGGTTTAGCGTCACGATGTCGTGCGGGTTCTCATCGTTCTGAGCTTGGGCGTGACCGGCCGTGGAGACCAGGTAGGAGAGCGACATCACAAGGGTTCTGGCGTTTGTCTTGACGGATGAATGGTCAGCAAGTTGGGGATTGAGTAGGATGTGAGGTTTGAGAACGTCAAGAAGGTCGAGGCATGTCATGGGGTTCGGCGATCGATCGGGATCGGATGAGGTGACGTAACCGACCTCGAACCTAGACTGTAGGCATATCTTTCAACAGACACGCTATATACTATATGTTGTATTCTATCGCTTACAGCTTATAGCAAGCTGGTACTGGTCATATCGATCACTTAAGGGTTTCTCTATCGTAACTTCAGCCGTTCGGACGAGCCGGACCCCTTGAGGCGGGTAGATATCGACCTCTCGATCCACCTCGTTGACCTCTTCGATCCACCTCCTTCAGGCCATGCGCTCTCGATGCGCCGCCGCCCAGAGACAAGCAAAGGCGACCAAGACTTGTCATACCCTGTCGAACTAGGAACAGGCCATGGAAAGACAGGGGATCAGTTTAAAATGGCGTTGATCAGGTCATATATCAGTCAGACCTGGCTGTAGCTGTTCCTTGTCTGAAAAAGGGTCAAGCGAGCGAGAGGGATGCGATCGAGGGCTGTTACATGCCGGCATGGTTGTCCCGGAAGTAAAGAGACCTCACCGGGAGCATATTCCCTTCGTATATAACATTCGAAGCGTGATCAACTGTGATCAAAACCAACAATCAACGTTGACCTACACCTCGACGTTTCGAGTACCTTTATCCGTCAAGTCGCATCGGAACAGCATTGGTACTCATCTTTATCGAGAGGCAAACCTCTTCGTGATAACAGCCCGACTCACAGAACCCTACACCTTGCCCAAATCGCCTGGCGTAATCGGTGTCCCCCGACCTTCCTCTCGCCCCTCCTTTGGGTGCATCTCGTCGACCTTCTGATCTGATCTCTATCGGTCACTGGTCAAGGGCAGCTAAGTCAGCTGAGTGCTAGCTACTTGACCGTGAGAAGAGGTATCAGAAAGCTTCGGCGAACGACCCCGGTCGAGATCGAGCTCGAGGTTGAGGTCACGAGAACCTCAATCAGAACCGAACGCTCGAAAGATGGTCCGCAGGCTGTGGAAGTCTAACCGCAACCCCGACAGGTATGATCGTTCTGGTTCGTCGGGAGATCAGAACAAGGAGGACGAGGATCACAAAGAGGATGAGACTAAAGAAAACGAGCGTAGTCAACGATCTTATGTTGCTGAGGAACGAGAACAGCCTGAAGAAGCGGTTCCGGATGACGTGCCAATGCCAATGCAACAACAAACGTTGCCCGGTCTCGGCGAGTCGTCACAAGCACAGACTCTCGGCGTAGCTGGTCCCCCAGTTCAGGCTCAGGCCGGACCGTCCAGGTTGAACGAGAACGCTCGAGCTGGTGCCGAGGAACCGCCAAGGCTCAAACGGGAGCGTCCGCAGGTCATTGATAGGGTAAAGTCACCTCATCCGAATGATCCCGTCGAGGAGGACGACATCGACATCTCGCTGGACGATATCGATATGGCCTTCAGTGCCAGTGCCAGCGCGAGCGAAAAGTCTTCCAGTCCCCCTCCTACTCGCTCAGCTGAAAACACGCCTCGACTCGTTCTTCGTCCTCCCCGCCCGCCCCCTCGTTCGTTCGACCAGAGAGACCTCGGGCTGCCCGAACGAGGTATTCCTCGACTCAAAGACGGACACAAACACGTTTATCACGGTCCGATGGGAAGGCGGGTCGTCGTGAGTAATGAACGCAACCCGAACTATCGCTCCAAGGACCAGCCGTTCTTGTGGGTCCGCATCCAGAATGATAACTCCGATGTCTCTTTGACGGGGAAGAAGGCGGCGGATCTGTACGAGGAGGTGGCCATGGCGATGGCTCAACGAGGTTATGGCCCGATCAGGTCGGAAACAGAGGATTCGAGCTGTCAACCTAAATCGAGGACGGCGGTGGCGACCGAGATCGTCTTGCCCGAACTCATGGGGATCGAGCCGATCTTGTCCGACTCTGGACAGAACTTTGGGAGAGGTCGACAGACGGTGCATCTGACCTTTGCCGCGGTACTGTATATGGCCGGCTGGCTTGACGATGATTTTGAACTCATTCATGGCGAGCCCGATTGGGACGCGTTGGTCGAGTGGTTTGAGAATGAGGCGCAGGGGACGCAGTACGGAGAGGACGCTGAGCAGATCCTGGGTCAAGTCGAGGCGGATAGCGGATATGTTGAAGGAAATCAAGCTGCGGCTCTGACGGTCACGAACCCCATTCAACAACAACAACTTGTCTTGCCAGACGATCGAGTTGGATCTCCAGCTCAGCATACCCCTCGAAACGATCGAGCAGGAGCTCCAGATCAGTACGCCTTTCGGAATGATCGAGCAGGAGCTCCAGATCAGCGCGCCTTTCGGAATGATCGAGCAAGAGGCCCAGTCCAGAGTGCCATCGCGAATGATCGAGCCGGAGCCCCCATCGACCGAGAGCCTCCATCCGATCGCCGCGCTCGAACCCGCTCGTCCGCCGATCCCAATGCTTTACTGATGTTAGGTTACGGTGAGCAGCGACAGGGCGCTGTCCCGAATACCGAGGCGAATTGGGCTGGAGCTGGGCTGCCTTCTGCCGCCGAGTACCATGATCTTCAAACGGCCAAGCAAAAGGCGCAGCAAAAGGCTAAGGATGAGCGAAAGGTTACCGAGGCGAATTGGGCTGGAGCTGGAACGCTTTCTGCCGAGGAGTACCACGATCTTCAAATCGCTAAGCAACAGGCGCAGCACAAGGCTAAGGATGGGCGAAAGATCAGCGGACTACCCACCCGAGGAGGACATTCTGTCGAGATCGAACGCAACACGCCAAAGTTTTGGGAGATCTGTGAGCCCTTGGCGGCTGGCAAATTCTGTGCGACGTTATGCAGAATCCAAGTTCCAGCGCAAGAAAGGATCGGCAGACATCGATCTTACCGGACCATGTGTATCTTGACCACACGGAAACTGCCGATTCCTATGGGACGACCTTTACCGACTTGTAAAGCGGTGGTCAAGGTCGACGCTGTTCTCGAGGCGTGTCGTGATATCCAGCTGGACGACGCTCAGGTCCGCAAGGCGATTCAGTATACAGTCAAGATGTTCTCTCTCCCTCGTCGCAAAACACTCGAAGCGCGCGATTTGCCCTACCTCGTATTGCCCATGTCGATGCAGTGGAGCGCCGCGTTCAACGCGATGAGCGAGGTGCAATCGATCAGACAAACCGACGTCGAGCGGAATCTGGCCTGGACCGAGATCGACTCGGCTTTGGATCACGAGAAGGAAACGCGCATGGTCAACCCCCTCGATTCCATCGAGCGAAAGCGTGGGGGAGCGATGGCGGCGTTCGCGGAAGAAAGCATCTACATTGTTCACGGCGCCCAGTACAACGAGGTTCATGAAACCTGCTGGGATGAAGAGTCTCGTGCCAAGGCTCGGAAGCGAGCGATCGATCAGGCTTTCAAGGCGAACCCTGAGGGGCCAGAGGAGGTGCCCGAAATTCAAGGTCCTGTTTTCGAGTTGCGTCAAATACCTGATTTTTGGAAACCGGGGCATAGTCGGTCGACCACGACCAATCTTCGTGAGTGCCTCTATTTGATGTCTCTATCTCGTGCAGACCAGCTGATCAAGATCTGTTGCTGTAGATGTGGATCCTAATCTCGAGCCGCGTAGTACCATCGCAAGGAGGTAGGTTTCTCGGTTGGCCATATCGGACTGTCTCAAGCTGACATCAAGGACGCGTAGTATCTATCATTCGGCCCACATGCTACCCTGGATTATGTGGACCATCGACGGCCTCCTCCTTGCCCAAGAAGTGAATGAGCAATTCCTCAACTCACAGGCGGACACTTACGACGTCTTGGCGGCCCTTTCGACTACTCAAAGCTCCAGGTACAATGATCTCGGTGAGTTCAGTTAGCCGATATATTTCGACTCTGTCGTCCCACTAATATCGTATCGATAGAGGTCTTGGAGTTCGCCGGAGACACCTACTGGAAGTTTGCCGCGACGGAGTATCATTTCCACAGCAGTCCTACCAAAGATTACCAGGAGCTCAATAGATTGGTACGCGGAATCACTGACAACGCCCCGCTCGCTAGAGGGATGAAAGAATCCGGGGCGGAAAGCTACATCATGAACGATCCTGTCGATACCAGCAATTTCCTTCCTCCGGGTTGTGATTATCAGAACAGCCATGGCAGGAGTCGACCACCTCGTTTGAATTCGTTATCCCCCAAGGTGAGCGTGACGCCGTTCTTCAATCGAGACTTCGATCGACGGACACGCTTACGTACTCCGCTTCGATAGTCCATTGCCGATGTCGCCGAGGCTCTCGCTGGGGCTGTCGGAAAAGTCAAGGACAATGAACTGCTGCTCCGAACCTGCATGCGACTCTTTCCGAGCGCATTTCCATTCCGCTCCTCCTATCCACCTGAACTTTCCTGGCGAGCCATTGCTCAGATGGACACCTCGCTGAACTTTGGGAACAATTCGGCGTCTCAATCGGATATCGACTACGTTCAGAGGGTCACTGGCCATAAATTCGAAAACCGGAATCTGCTTGGACTGATACTGGTAAGCTTGCCGGTCCTGGTTGCCGCTGAGAATCGACTCTGAATTCTCAATGACCGCAGGATCCTCGGAATGCTTGCCGAGGGGGATACAACTCCATTTCGATGAGATTGACTTTTCTAGGCGACGCCATCTTCGATTGCAGTGAGTCGCTCCGCTGCCTGGGGCGATATCTTGACTGATCCCTTGTCCCTTGATGGTATCAACAGTCTTGATGGATTATTTGATCGCGCAAGGCGCTGCTCAAAACCTAGACCCGGGACAGCTCACGCACTGGAGGACGAAAATGGCATCTTCGGTGAGCATACCAAGAAACGCGAGGCCGTTTCGTTGGCTTATCAGAAACGTCGAACCGATGTAGGTGAGCCTGGCTGCGCTTTGGGTCACCAGTGGGTTGCACAGGGTTGTCGGAGGACCGCGGGGAAAAATACATCAATTCGAATACGAGCTCCAGAAAACTGTCGACACGCAGACAGAATTACACATGGCCTGGACCAAGATTCCACACGTGCCGGCAAGTCGAATGATAAGATTGCAGCTCGTCCTGATGGCTTACCGATCGTCATCCCCGCATAGAAATTGGACGGACATGTTTACCTCCTCCTTGCGGGCGTGTTGGCCGACAGCGGATGGTCGTTCTCTGCCGTCTTGGACTTGTTCGATCGGCTGTATCTACCCTTCTTCGCCCGCTTCGTCGGATCGTACGATCGCGACCGCCTGGACAGTATTCCCGAGCCTGATGCGGCCAGATTGAAGCTGCAGCAGGGACTACGCCCTTGCAAAGACGTGCACTCCACCACGACTGTGATGCCACACGGAATTTTCAATACGGACGGTAAGCCGAGATGAACCGGTAATGGTCCTGGTCTCTGACATATCGTATTCGCAGTGAAATGCCACTCTCGAGTCATCGGCAACGGTCGCAGCTTGTATCAGGTTGCTGCCGAGGGCTTTGCCTATCGTGAAGCTCAAAAGTTCATCTTGGACGCGCCGTTGCGGCAGGCTTTAATCAGGAAGTACTGCAATTGTCTTGACGGGCTCCTCCGCAAGCCAGCAGCTACGGTCGTCCTGCCTCAATCGGCAGAGCCTTCCACGGGGATTAGACAGGCCGACCGCAAGCAGGAAACCCTCTCTGACGATGGGTTCGAGATCGTCGCAGATCCCGGACTCGTCGGCAGTGTAGTTGGGCGACTGTCGAAAGTCGTGCCTGCGACCCGCAAGGCCAGCTCTTCCGATGATTCTGGCGAGCAAGAGCGAGAGAATAAGCTGGGCAGATACGATATTTAACGAGTCATGAGAGCCATCGGATACGAAGTAATGTCATTATATGTCGTGATTGTAGCATATATATATATCGATATAGTTTAGAGTTTACGATAACATGAATGTCTATATTCCAGCCAGAGTCTCGAATCGGAGGTCCCCACTTACGGCTGGTACTACAACAAACTCCAAGCTGGATCATGCGGGAAGACCACCGTTGTCGAAGCATGTATTGTTGATTATTCCATCTTATGCCATCGTATTCCATCGTGATCCATCTCATTCCGTCTCCAACTGACATCGGCGAATTAGGGTCAAGTGGGGAGCGCAGCTGGGGGACTCATTTGCTGCGATCGCGAGCGACAATCAGGCGACGTAACCCGTACAATCTTCACGCCGCGGGACTCGCCCGAGCCCTGCTATTATGCTCAAATCCCCCTTCCACATGGCAATCCCAACCACCAGCAGGATGATCATGTCACCCAAAACGACCTTTTCAAACTCCTCCCCTCCCCCTTCTTGTTGGAGAGACAAGCCCAACTCCAGGCCATCACAGCTATCGTAAGGATCAACACTACAACCGGAGGACCCCTGAGCCTGATACCGGGCTTGCAGTCATAGATTCTACAGAGTTACTAGTCAGTATGATGTGATATAAGGATTAGGTAGTCATAGACTCACCTATAACCACACAAGGCTTCACATACCAGCATGTAACCAATTAACAGCAAAAGGACCCCTGCCCAATACCAGCCTTTCTTTCCCGCTGCTCTCTCTCTCTCTCTCTCTCTTGATGAAGAGCTCCAACTCCTGTTTCTCCATCTCTTGAATAATCTGTCTTGCCTCCTCTTGAAGCAATGACAATGCTTGAGCTGACATTATTGGAATAGTTGGAAGGGAGAGCGGTATCGGGTCGCGAAGACGGGGGGCGATAAGGTCGTGCGTGCATGACGGGTCGTGAGGTTGGATCGTGGGGGCTACGGCGGCGTGATGGGTTGTGAAAATTGCGATCGCTTGTCGTGACCTGTGCCAACGCTTCAAGATACCTACAGGTATGTCCATCCTCTGACGCAATCCGCGCTTAGCAAATCGCTAACAAGGTGTACCATTTGCGCGCGGCCCTTACTGAACAGTCGACGACTCTTGCGAAAGACGATGGGGGGTTCTATACCCAAATGTCATGGCACTCCCAAGTAATCGGCTCAGGGGTTAGCGTCTCCAAGGCAGCCGTTCAGGTAAGCTCAAGAGATATTGCATTTAACAAGCCGCAATACATGCTGCTGATCTGTGGCCGAACTGGCTACATAGGCCTTGGTTTTCCACGAAGCGCAAAATGCTATGCGGCAGGCGCGGCTCCTCCAGGAGCAGTGCCACTGCATGGCTGCCCACACACCGTCGCAGGTCATGCCTGCGATTCGCAAGGCCAGCGATAACGACACGATATCCGGACGCCATCCAACGGACAAACGCAAGGTCGACCCTGCGTATTACGATACTACGTTGGGATTAGAACGCAACGAATACGACACCGAACGACAAAGGTACCCAACGAGTTACGAAAATTATTATACCATCCCTGATTGTAGCATATATATCAACATAGTGAAGAAGACTCACGCAAACGTGACGCGATGTCTATATTTCTCTACATTCTGCCGATGTCTATATTCTAGCCTTCCCCATTAGACGATAAGCCAATGTGCACACGATGGCGACAATCAACAGCCTGATCCGCTTCTGTTTTGCGAGCCTGTCCTTGATAGCGATCTTTTCGGCTCCGGCGAGGTCAGTCCAATTAGGCGTACGGTTTTGATAGCAGTAGACCGCGGTGTAGGCCGGCCAGTTGGTAAAGACGCGACCCTTTCTGTCTTTGCCCAGGCGGTAAAACGAGCTCGTCTTGGTCCAGGTCGTATTGGCGATGCGTTTGTCGAGCCAGCTGCAAAGGCCAGAGTCGAGTCAGCACGACGCAGAGACTTCAGCCGACAGCGTCGCACTCACTCCATGTACCGTCGAGTGGGCTCCTCCTTGACCTCGATCACCTTGCTCCCTTCCTGCAGCTGAGCCTTGACGACTTGGGCAATGTAGTTGGCTTGCACTTCGATGTTGATCATGACGCTGGTATGGCCCGGGGCGACGTTGTGGCCGAGCATGACGTACATGTTGGGAAACCCGGGGTACATCATCTGCCGCAAGCGAAGTTTAATGGTCAGATTCTGGCCGAACACCGCAGCGGTAGTTGGAAACCGACTCACTCCTCGATACGCTCCGGGACCATCTTCCTTCAAAACGCTATCGCTCAATTGCACCGAGTTCTTGCCCGTCACATTTAGCATGGAGGCGGTCTATCGACAGCGACAAAGTTTAGCGATTGAATGTGTAGAGCAGAGGTCGAACCACGTACGACATCATAGCCCGTAGCGATGACCGCAACATCCACCTCGTGCTCCATGCCTGTGATGTCATGACATCAATATCACGAGCCAAATTCCACACCTGATTGAGAACCGGCTGACGTACCATCCGAGGTTACGATGCCCTTCTTGCTGAACCTCGAGATGGGCTTGGTGATCGCCTGCACGTTCGGTTTTCTCAAGCTGTCCAGGTAACCACTGCCGAGAGCCGTATGTCCAGTTAGCCTATGTGTGACACTTATTATCCGGGTCGGAGACATACCGATCCATCACGGTCCGCTTGGCTCCGAAGGCTGAATGAAGCAAGAGTCAATACCGTCAGCAGTGTGTCATGTGCTCATGGCATATCGCAATCACTCACGGAACTTGGGTGTGAGCAGGTCGACCGTCTCATCAGGAGCGCTCTTCTTGATATGACTAGCCGATTCCTGCATGCGCCCATCTTTTCAGCGCAAAGTGCTGCGGTGCCATCGTCAAAGTCGAGCACGGGATCAACTCACCTTCTCGATGAGCTTGCGGAACCAAGCGTTTTGTAGTTTGAAGGCGAAGAAGATGACGTCTTGCTTGCAAAAGAGGAAGAACCGGTATAGCTTCATCAAACCGGGGACGTAGCGGAGGAGCAGTCGGAAGATGAACGAGTAAGGTGCGTCGGACCTGTTCCACGAGCGAGGTTGAGTTTGTCAGGATCAGATGTTGGCGGGAAAACACGGGTAAGGCCGAGAAGACTGTCGACTGACCTAGGCAAGAACCATTGACCCGACCGGACGAAATTCAAGAGCTGGATTTCGGTGTCGGCAGCTAGAGCCGAGACGATCTGGGTAGCGCTACATCCATTGCCGAGGACGGCGACTCGTTTTCCCTTCAGGTCGATCCCTCCTCGAGGCCATCGGGCAGGGTGGATGATCTGACCTTGATACTGTTCTTCTACGCTCTCGCCGTCGTTCTGGATTGATTTGTGGTCGCTGGAGATGTCGGATTCCACCGTGGTCGCAGGCTGAACGGGGACTTCATTCTGTTCATGCACCTTGAACAAGGATTCAGGTTGACCATCCTCGAGGTAAGGATTCGGAAGCCCTCTGATCCGAGGGATCAAGGGCCAAGAAAAACCCCCGGTCCCGCTAATCAAGATCGTATGACGTCGTTCAAAGACCTCTTCATCGCCTTCCGTCCCGTCGCCCTGCGAGCGATTGTCGTTGTGATCAAGGGATGAGCTCTGGGCGTAAGACCCGAAAGACGATTGCGGGGACGTCCGTTTGAGCTTGAAAACCCAGGATAAAGAGGTTTGGTCCCATTCGGCAGAGATGAACGAGGTGAGGAATTGACAGTGAGGGTAGATGTTTTCTTTCCGGGCGATGTCTTGCCAGTCTATGAATGCGTCACGATAGGTTCGAAGAGATTGAGGTTGAGGGTTATATTATGAGATTTTGCATATATATATGTCAGTCCTTATAAGGGAAGAAAACATGAGGATGAGAGTAAGGGGGCTTACAAGCTAGGATCTCGGATTGAGGAGGATGGACTTCAGTCCAATCCGGATTAGGATGACTGGAGAGGGAATAGAGGTGGGCGGCGATGCTGTTCCAAACAACAAGATTCAGCTGATTGGCATTCCCAATTCCAATACAATGTGAACATAAGAGATGGACAGGGGGGGACTGCGGGGACGTACTCGCAACGACATCCCTACAGTATCATACATAAGGAAAGGGGTATCGCAGCAGATTAGTATATCAAGATTGTGAGATATAAATACTACTAGGAGGGAGGATCGAACTCGACCTGGTGAAACTCACAGGGTACGCGTTCGTCAACCAAGTCCCTCCGATATCGACGTCCCGTTCGTAAATCTGCTCGATGGGAAGCGGAAAGACATAGAGTGCGAGTGCGAGTGCGAGTGCAAGCGTGAGTGGGAGTGAGAGTGCGAGTGAGAGTGCGAGTACGAATGCGAGTTGAGATCCGGGTGGTTGAGATCCGGGTGGTCGAGGTTTATGTATGTGGGTTTGAGGTTGATCAGCTCACCCCAATCCTAGCCGACTGACGCACTCCAGCAAGGGTCAAGGGAGGAAAGCTTACGGTAAAGTCGTAGAACCCGATCGAATGTAACCTGATAGCCAGCGTTATCCCCGATATACTACGAAGCACACAAGAGAAATATAAAGCTCGTCAGTCGTTGAATCGAAGCTCGACATGGTCGAAGTCCAGTATACACAGAGATACGGGGGCTTACCCGGCTCCTACGATCCCGATAGAGAAATCCTTATCATTCGTCTTCTTCTCGGTTTGGCTGAGCATCGTTGGGAAAGCCGGCTACGGTAGTGTTCAGACGGAGTGTAGTGTAAGGCAAGGTGAGGTAAGGTGAGGTTCCTCTGGCCGACTGAACGTTGACGAGGGTCGTTCACGCTGTGCCTTTCGGAGTTTGGTGATCTTCGACGAGCTTTTGAAATTTTCCGTTGAATGATAATAAGTGATTGATACCTTGCCGACCGCAGGTTCCGCATTCCTTTCCAAAGGGAGACCAATCCCCCCCGCAAGGGATGTCGAAGATGACTCGAGGCTTGAAGATGAGGTTTAGGTTGGGGGAAAGGGAAATCTCGAACGCCAAGATCCGTCTGAATGGTGCGGGGACTCCACATTCGTATATCGGACATCTTGCATCTTGCATCCTTGATCGCCGGCTACCGGGTCCCCCGACCTAGGCTCCCCTTGGTGACTTAGACGAAGACATGCTCGCACCTCAACATTTCGGACTACTCGGGCTGATACTGGATGCCGACACCAGACGCGCTCCTGGTGTGAGGTTGACAACCTCGAGAAACACGGTCTTTGACCATGTCATTGACGGGGTATTTGCTCAGGGAGGCAAACATCAAGCTATGACCATGGGATTTGACGTGATGGAGAGGTATGATGAGGTCCTACGTCACCTTCACTGCTCTCCGTGTGAGCACAGCTGGTCTACATCAACCCCTGAGGATCGTGATCCTGTATCTGAGCTTCGACAGCCCGACCCCAACCCGGTTAGCAGCTCGGATTCGGCCGACGACGCCTCTGCCATATGCCATCGGGAGGGATGCCAGACCATTTGATACATTTCGTTACTTGTTACGACTAGCTTCTGATACGTACTCTTGATACGAATACAATCGGGTCGTAAAGCGAACACCATGCCCCCATCTTCGAGGATGCGACCGTTTAGATCCTCCCCGTCTCCTACGATAAACTCTTCGTGGCTTCATCCCAGTTTTCTTATGCCAGACTTGTCTAATCTTTCACCTCACATGATCCCACCCCGTCATCGTCCCCCATTCTCAACCAAGACGATTTGCCTAAACTTCCCCTTTCCCTCTTCCCGTTCCCGGGATCTACATTTACATCTACATCTACATCTACATCTACCCTCACCTAGTAGCAACAACCCCAGCGCTCTTCCAGAGCACCCACAGGTTCGCAAACATCCCCCCGACATACACCCCCGTCCTCAACGCGTCCGTCCAGAACCCGGTCTGGGTGTAGTAGATGACGTTGTAAGCGAGTCGGGAGAGGGCGTAGGTGAGGGCGAAGGAGTTTAGGTAAGGGGTGGGGAGGGAGGCTTGGTTGGCGGAGAGCTGCGGTAAGGGAAGGGGGAGACGAAAAAAGCAGGACGTCGCGTTTAGAGGAGAGATATTATTGAGGTTGAGGTTGAGCGAAGGAGAGCGAGTTCGATTTCTCAGCCTGTGCTACTGTACTGTACGATCCTACAGTAGCCGGCGGACGACTCAGAGTTGAGGGACAGGGGCTCATTCAAATACTCACCAGAGCAGCCGCAAACAACGGAAAGATCTCCACCCCGTTATGATGCATCGACCCCAACTTTTCCACGTGTTCCTTGTACTTCTGGGAATCGCCTTGGCGGAACTCGACAGGGTCTCGAGGTTTAAAGTTGGAATACCGACTACCGAGACGGAGGAGTTTGAGTTCGTGTGGGGTGAAACTCAACATCCAGACCTGCGGGGTGGGGGGGTGGGGAGGGGTGGGGGCAGGAGATCAGATGAGATATGAGGGTGAGTTTTCAGACGTGAGTGGCACAGCGAAGAGATTGGAGGCGGGGGAGAGTGACTTGCGATGGGGATAAAGTAGAGCGAGATGTTTTGGTCCGACAACGAGGCCATGTTCAGGAAGGTGTTGGTAGCCATGATGAGTGCAATCGAATTAGTCGGATGTGTTTGTTATGATCGAGTCTGGTTGTGTGATATACGATGTACGTCGAGGCTGATTGACTGAATGGGTACGGGCGGTCGAGGGTGTCGACGAGGTGCGAGATGACAACCGTTGCCATCGCATATATATATATATATATATATATATATATATATCTGTCTGTGAGTACGAGTTCCGTATGATCGCCGGCGGGGCTGATCCTGATCATCATCGCCCTCCCCCTCGGACTTCTCGATCGATCCAGATCTGAAGCAAGGGAGACTCCACGGAGCCATCACCCACAGCCCAGCACATCCACCTCACATGTCGCTCTCGATCGCTGGAATCATCGTCGTCGTCATCGTCATTGCCACTCACTTCCCATCTGCCACTCTTCCCATGTGTGACGCACGATCGCCGAGGTCAAAAACCCGAGTCGGCGCCACAAGCGCGAAGAAGGTTGAAACGTCAGCACGTCAGCGACCTCCACATCGAGCGACGTAAAGTGAATCGTCCTACAGTACTTTATCGCCCTCGCTCAGAACGCATACTACAAGCAATTGTACATTTGTATATGATTGGGTGGTCCCCCTAGTCTCTAGTCTTCAGGTGAAGGGACTCGTGACCCCATGAGTAGGAGGATGGTCAAACGCCTATTGTACACGTCTATACAATGTTCTTGCCGCCTTCAATCAGAAACAAGAAGGGTCCGAAGCCTATTGACAAAGAGACCGTCTCTCGACAGATGCCCCCCGATGTACGCCGGCGACACCACCGTCTCTCAACAGATAGGAGGATCTGACCGAGGACGAACGAAAGGTCCAGACCCGCGACGGACTGATCGAGGGTAAACAAAGGCCTTTCTCTTTCACTCTAGCGTCCCCTCTTACTCCAGCGATATTCGAGCGTCGCGTGGTCGTGATTGACCGTCAGGTCGCGGGGCGAGGCTTGTTTTTTTTTTATCGAACGAGTCGGCGAAAACGAAGAAGAAAACAAGTCGACCTCGAGTCTCCGCCATGACCCCCCATGTCAGCTGCCAAGCTCGAGGGACCGGGCCTGGAACCCTGAACAGCACCGCAGCGATTTTCGATCACCTAGATCACCACCGCGTTACGATCACGACCCGAAACAGAAGACCAAAACCACTTCGCCCCGCGCTCCGACCAAACGGGCCCTTTGGTCCGGAAAAACTCTCCTGTCATTCGATTTCATGTTTCAATTTCACTTCACTTGCTAATCCCGGTTTTGGGGCGTGTCGACACACTTCCTTTTCTCTCCCGGTGACTTTCCATGATCCCCGATTTACTCGCCTGTAGCTTGGCGCTCTCGGGTACGATGGAGTGACCTAGATGGCAGCCTACCGACAAAACACCCCCCGCCACGGAGACGATCCAGTCCAACGATCAGATCAGCCTCCGATCACAATCTCGCCCCCGTTCTATCCGGCCTTGCTTGACTCGTCAAGAGTCAGCGCACGGAGGATGAGACTCACCTTGACACGTTCCTCGGCTTCCTTGAAGTTGATGACGTTCCAAATCGCGTTCAAGTACTGCGAAAATTATCACGCACGGACGTACCCGGACAGCGAAAGAGAAGGCGGAGAGCGGGATGAAGGGATGAGGACGAGAGACGAGCAAGTGTCAGCGGGCACGCAAAGTTTTTCCATTCCGGAGAGCGATGACGACGAGGGAGCAGAGATAGACAAATGAGGCATGGAGGGATAAACGGAGCAAGACTCACATCGGGCTTGACGTTCTTGTACTGCAAGTAGAACCTGTTCGGTGGGCGCCAAGAAAAAGTACGATGCTCACATCAGTCCCGGTCCCAGCACGATCAGGTCCTCACCGAGAATCCCCGACAAGGGTTCGATCCAGACGAAAAAAAGAAAGAAGAAACACATACGCATGCTCCCAAATATCGATCCCGATGATGGGCACGTGAGGGGCCAAGACCGGATCCTGATCCTTGGTGGTGACGACCTCGAGCTTGCCGTTGGACTTGTTGTAGGCCTGGAGATTCCGAGCGGTTGATCGTTTCCAGACGTAGTGTTTTGTTTCATTTTCGGGGAGAGTTTTGACGTATCGTATCGTTCCCGGGAGTGTGTTTCGATGTTCCGACGTTTTCATATCGACATTCAGGCAGTTTAGGTATATCCAGAGATCGGGAGATCCATGGAACGGTAGTTAAAAGCATGTTGTGGTGGTGTGGGTATGCACGTGGATCGATTTTGGGGTCGATGTTCGATGTCAAGGTCAATGTTCAATGTTCATGGGTGCGATGTTTCGACGTGCAGGGGTTTCGGGAACCGAGGTATGGACACCGAGAGGTTGATTTGAAGAGGTTGGAGAGCGATTGAGAGGTCGGGAGGGTCGAGAGGTCGATTTGTATAGGTGGATTTGGAAGAGGTCGAAGAAAGGTTGAGAGGTGTAATAGGGCGGTGGAGGTAGAGAGATATGCATATATAGAGGTAGAGGCAGAGCAATATCCCGGACGGGTAGACGATATGATCAGCGACCCGTACGAAACACGACGAGGATCAGAGCCGATCGATAGGTAGAGATTCGGGGTGAGGTGGTGGATTGATAGGAATGGAACAAACGGAAGAGAAAAAGAAGACAGAAAATAGGAAACAGATAGGAAACAAAGAGTAACAAAGAGGAAGACAAGGAAGAAAATCCACACAGCAAGAACCAAAGAAATCGCAAGACTCACCACCCAACCCCACCCGCTCCCCTGAATCGCCGCCGTCTTCGCATTGACCTCCTTCTTCAACCCCTCCACCCCTCCGAAATCCCTCTCTACGAGCCTCTCAAACTCTCCTCCCTTGACCACCTTCGCCTGCTCACTGCCGGCAGGGGTAAGGTTCTTCCAAAAGAGGGAATGGTTGATATGACCGCCCCCGTTGAACTTGACAGCGGGTTGAAGGGAGATGATCTCTTTAACAGTCGAGGGGGTTTGAGGTTGGGCTTGCAGGGTAGAGAGCGTGGATTCGACGGCGTTGAGGTTGGTTATGTAGGTTTGGTGGTGTTTCTTGTGGTGCAGCTCCATGATATCTTTGATGATATGAGGTTCGAGGGCCTTTTTTTTCGATCATGAATCACGAAAACGAGTTATAATATTATAATAGACGAAATCAAATTCACTTTGTATCAGTCCCAGACGATATAACGCGGAGGAGAACCACGACGAAAACGACAACAATGACGACAAGGACCTTTCGCGACTCACATCATAAGCATAAGGCAACTCTGGCAAGGTGTGTTGACCTCGGAAAGACATGACTGCGGCTCGGCTGACGACGTTTCTGGCGGCAGTGGTAGAGAGACGGCTGACCGAGTTGTGGGTGATGGCGCGGGCGAACGACATGGTTTTAGTGTTACTTGTTATATATGTGTCTGGGTGTGTAGCAATAGAGTACTCCTTTGATGGGATGATCAGAGGGTAGAGAGAGAGAGAGTCGAGGACGAGGTTTCGAATGGCGGAATGACCTCGAAGTGCTTCGATGATGAGCTGGGGTCACGCCAATGGAGGATGACGTTCTCGCTTATCAAAATAATCCGGAGATCAAAGGAGAGACCACGTCATACCCAGATTCTGGATAATGACGTGTCAAATCAATTTCCCACCCGGAGGACAATTCAACAAGGAATCGTTCCCAAGGAACAGGTCGAGTAAGAATCATCATCTTGCATCTAACCACGATCAGTCTTGCATTCTTCCCTCGCTTGACCTCTACTTTCCCTGTCTGAACCCATCTCTAGTCAATTATGAACGGCAGCAACTGGTTCAACGCAGCCGCAGCTCCCGGAGGAGGTGCTAACCTGGGCGCCTCGTCCTCATCGCTGTTCGGAAACAGCATCAACAACAACAACCCGCAACCACCCGGAGGTGGCCTCTTTGGCAACTCTTCCACCACCACCAACAACAACAACAACAATCTGAACGGCAGTACCCTCTTCGGAGGCCTCAATAACAATAACAACAATGGCGGCATCCCAAACTCTCCCTCTTCCGCCGCATTCGGGGGACAAGCACGTAACGGTGCCGCAAACCAAAACCAAGATATCCCGGTTACCGAATACAACGAGAACCAGAGGTTACAGAACAAGTATTTGGAGAGTTTTACACCGGGGGGTGGGAATAAGAAGAAGGGGGTGGGGGCGGTGAGTGTCGGGTCGTGCGGTCTCGGTCTTGGTCTCGCTCGGGGGTGTTTTTGTGTCTTTGGCGGGGTGGAGGGAGGGGGGGACGATCGGGGTTTCCAGGTTTTGTGATCTCACAGGCTGATCTTAAAGACCATTTCTTTTATCGCTGGACGCTCCTTTTCGCTGCATTGCATCTTTGTGTTGCGCTCGTTCTTACCTCTTGTTGATATGCTATGCCTCTCTTGTTGGCCGGAATCAACCCAACCCGATCGAAATCAACCAATACCCCACCTCGGAAACTGAACCCTCACCGAACCCAAAAACCGAACCTCGATCCTACACCCCCACCGAACCTTCGTCAAACCAAATTCGCAGACCAAGACCACATCCTCCCCGACCGGCGGACCGATGGGGGCGTTCACCGAGCCTTCCCGGTTCGGGAGTAACAGTCTTTATGGGTCTGGGTGAGTGTTTCCCCTCTTTTTTTGTGGGATAGCATTTTCCCGTCAAATAGCGAAATAAGCTGATCTTGATCTTTATCTTTATACCCGTATCATCATCGTCATCGTGCTACCCTTCACCTCCTCCTCGGCAACCGGATTTCTACCTCTTTTCCCACTCCTCCTTTTTTCTCGACATCTGATCTTATTCTCGCTGGGGACAAATAAATGAACAGCGCCGGCGTATCCCCCAACAAGTCGTCCCACCGCCTCTCCAATAACAACACCACCAGCACCAACCGGGACACCTCCCAATCCACTTCGTCCCCTTTGGGAAACTCTTCGATGAGCGTCCGGTCTCGTATGTCCACCGGCGGGTCCGCCTCTGAAGAGCGGCCGGGGCAAGGTCATAGTTATAGTTATGGTTATACGGGTTATGGCGGAGGTGCTGGTGGGATGGGGGAAGATCCCGAGAGGCCGCCGGTTAGGAGTTATGCCGATGATGATGGGGCGGAGTTGAATCAGCAAACCACACAAGGACAAGGGATGGGCGGTGGGATGGATGACGAGGATGGGATGAGGTTCGACGATGATACCGACGGGTAAGTCCTGGTGGTCGAGTTTGAGAACCACAAGATCACCGAGCGAGCACAGGTTGGCATATACTTATCATGTTCGCCTGGGGGGTGACTCTGGCAGACCCGCCCACATGCTCATGGTCTACGGCCTCCCTCCCTCGAAACAAGACCGCCTCCAATCGTTCCTCTCTTCTTTCGGCACGCTCACCCACTTCCAAGTCGGACCGATGGACAGCAACTATATCGTCGTAGCGTTCGACGACCCGAGCGTAGCATTGCGCTTGCAGAGACAGAGCGGGGAGGTGAGGATGGACGGGTGGTACCTCGGCTTCAGGGGGTTGAGAGAGGGAGCCGTACCCGAGGCGTGGTCCAGGTCGAGGTCGGGTAAAGGACAGCTCGACGTGAGGAGAAATGGGGAGGGGAACCACGGGCACGCGGAATCGCACGCCATGGACGTTCGTCCTCCTTCCTCATCTACCACCACCGCCGCCAGCTCTACCAACAACAACAGTAAAAACTCGGACGACCCGTTCGCCTCGATCTCGACCTTGACGCCGATCAAGTCGGGTGGGAGCGTCTTCAGACCGAGTGCGACGTCGGCTTTGAGTGGGCAGCAACAACAGCAGCAACAAAGGGTCGATGCGAGGTTCGCGTTCGGGACGGGTCAACAGCAGCAGCAACAGCAGCAGCAGCAACAGACGGGACAACAGCAACAAGGCGGGGGTGGGTATGGGTTCTTTGGAAAGATCTCGGATGTCATGGTGAGTCCGAGAAGGGTTCTTTCTGCTGGTCATGCCCGGGCGAGTCACGAGAAGGATGAACTCGAGGCTGATACGTCCGTATACTCTGGCCCGCAGTTCGGTCACTAGAAGAGGAGTCCGGTCATCGTCAGAGCTGATGACTTCCCGCGTGTCCATGGTCGCATATCGTACCGTCTGCCACCATTAATACATGTCACTCGCTTTGGCTTGGCAAATGATGTTGATCACGTCGAACTGTGATGCATTTTCGAGATGCGAGATGAGAGATCAAGGTGTCTGTGGGGGGTTTATGCCGGAAGGAACGTCTTGCCTCGTCCTCGCCGTCACGTCACCTCCGGGTGTCTCTTCGAGAGGGTGGTAGCTGCCGGCATCGCCAGCGGTCAGTATCAGTAGCAGTAGCAGCAGCAGCAGCAGCAGCAGCAGTTCGGTAACAGTAGTAGTGATGATGAAAGCAGTAATAGTAGTAGTACTGACTCTGTACTAGGAGTGTACTAGAAGTGCTAATGCATGCGGGGGGGGTTGCGGTCGAAAGGCTGGAGAGGTCACGTGATTCGCAGCTGAGCCGCCACTAGCTCGACCTCCTCCTTTGAGATGATCGACACCACTACAACTACACATACATCAACCGTCGACCCCCTAAAACCATACACTCACACACACTCACCCACATCGCTGAGGTTACGGCCACGAAAAAGGGTATCCGAATCGACAGCGGGAACCTTTGTCGTAGTGAACGCTATACAGTAGTAGTATCGCCACTCGGCCACTCGTCTTTGTGAGTCCCACCTCATTACCCCTCCCAACAACGTCAACAGGTCATAGACTCACGTTCATCAATAACCCCTAACCCGGAAATACGTCAGTCGCCACTCGTTCCTATCCTTCTGCCTCTGGATCCTCCTACGCCGCTCGACCCGACTTGGTGTCATAGCCTCGACAGCCTCGACCCTACCAAGCTCATCACATCGTTTCGGAACGAGCCCGGAACCCTCATCACGCACGCATCCCCACGACCTCGTCGACGTTCGGGAACTCGACATGTCGTCGACGTCGGCCTCGGCTTCGGCTTCGGCATCGAACAATGGTCGTCACAATATCCGTCTTGTCAAAAAACAAGTCAAGGCTCAACCCGAGGATTGGGCTCGGGATACGTCGAACCCCGCAGAGTCCACCGATGCGGCCATCACGAGCCAGTGGAACCAACTTTTGGAAACCAAACCGTCCAAGGCGGCCCCTCAATGGCGACAGCGATATCCTAACCCACCGATCAGCGTGTCCTCTCCACTTACACCTCTCCCTGAAAGCTCTCCTCAAACCGATATCATTGAAGGATCTGCCGATCCCCCCACCGACCCCGAGCATCTGCAAGAGGGTAACGTCGCGAACATGACATCGGAGCAGATTCGGAACAAGCTTGTCAACAATGTAGCAGTTTCGGATAAGCGACAGTCTGACAGCCAGATGTCGAGCCGATCCAAGGTTCTGAAGGAACACCTGCTCCCGGTTGTTCACCATCAACTTGACGGTCAGTTTGATCCAACCTTCGTCAAGCTGGAAGTTCATCCGGATCAAGCCAAAGAAGGTAATGCTCTTCTAGAGCGTGGCAGGGTAGCCTACCGATCAAAAGAGGCCTTGGACCTGAGACGGCAGATTGCCAACTTCAACAAGAAACCCGCGGAGGAAACGGAAGACAAACCGTCACAGAAGAAAAGCGTAGAGAAGGCCGGGAGCAAAGCTGAAGCTAAAAGCAAAGATGGCGAGGGAAGCAAAGCGAACAACAAGGATTCATCGTCTGCGAAGACTACTGAGAGAGAGATCCGTCTGGCCCAGCTACAAACTCGTCTCCTCAACCTCGTCTCTCGTGCCATGGTCGGCAAATCTTACAGCGATCTTCATCACGAGAACGGGGACAAGCATGTAGACTATTCCACCATGGCTCTCGGCAACAAGTTTCCGCAGATTCGTGCCGATATCCTCACGTTGAAGGAAAGCCGGGCGGACTTGGTCACAGCGAGGCTGACAGCGAATAATATTTGCGCTGCCGGAGCGACGAAGATTGAAAGAAATGAAGACAAGCTGAGGGGCAATAGTGATGATTTGGCATGTTATTCGGTGAGTTGGAATCTTGACCACCAGATCAATCTATATGTCGGATGTTCATGATTAAGGCGTCTTCTTGACATCGTCTGCCAGCTCACGTGCGTCCGAGATACCCCGATCGCCGGCACAGTCTACGGATTCACCGCCTGCGGGCCCCTCTTTCGGCTCTGGTGCTACGATCCGCTCTGTTACTCCTCGGGCTTGCCATGCGACGTTTCGCCCGATAACGACGATCAAGATCACATCGACGACTTCCTCAAGATGGTTGCCCTCTTGTGTGGACCCCTCGATGTCCTGATATGTCACTGGAAACCGCGTGACCAGGCCTTCCTGGCTTTTCGAGACGACCCGGACGACCTCGAATCAGAACCGTTGCAGATCACCAACTGGAAGTCTTTAGTCAGCAATAGACCTCACGGAGCGGTCTTCGTCCGCGAGCAGCTGATCGGCCGACGCTCGACCGCTTTCGCCGGGAAAGGCACCATCAATGGCAAAGAAAAAGATCTCGTCATCAAACTGTCTTACCTCTCGAAAGACCTTTGCCGTCACGAGCAGAGGGTGACGAGGCACATCCGCGATTTCAAGTTCGACGAGCTGCTGGATAGTGGCGTGGTCCGCGGTTTCGAACTCGACGAGAATGACGTCTCCAACCTCAGGCGAGGATACTCTCGTCTGCCCCGATATGTCGGTACCTTGGATTTCGGCGACTATGCCGCGAAACAGATCGATCATGTCGATGCTGAGACGGGTCTCACCGGGACGCTCTACCTGTCCGGCCTGGTAACCGAAGGCCTTCACGGCACGATACTGAGCGCCAAAGCCCCGGAGGATCAGACTATGCAGGTGTACGGCGACGCCGCCCGCTGCCTGTGGGCATCTGCGCTTTGCGACGTCTACTATCGCGACCCGAATCAAGGAAACATCTTGCTGCATGCCGAAGGTGGTGGAATGCTGATCGATTTTGGCAATGCCGTAATCAGAAGCCTTACCGACTCGGCCATCACGCTTTATCAACGTAGCAGCAGGCTCGAGGATGATGCCCGCTCAGCCAACCCCTACTTCATCTCTCTCGTTTCGGATGAAGCTGGATTCAAAGCTCAAGTCTACACCGAGGCTCTCACAGCCTGGGAGAAGATAAAGCATAAGTCTGAGGGGGATCCCGACCGTCTTAAAGCGGAAAAGAAACTCCGCGATGCGGAAAGACAAATCGACGAGTTTCGTGCACCGAGATTTTTCGATGATCTTGAATCCATCATTTATTGCCTGCTTCACCAGGTGAGATCTCGACCCTTTCTACGCTCCAGGTCACGAGTCCTTGTACACCTGCTTACATGCATCACCTCTGTCATGGATTCCGACAGCTGGGCCGTCACCAGGAGAAATTCAGTACTAAAGGCGAGGTCATCGCAGCCAACCCGGCGGAGGCGAGCTTGATCTCGGATGGTCCAAAAAGGAAAATGTGGACCCAACATTATCTCCACCCGGTGAGTCGCGGAGAGTCGGCGTCGGGTAAGTTTCGTATAGAGTCCTTGGCTGACCTGATCCTCGTCTCAGGTGATGGATAACTTGAAACTGCAAAGCGGGAACGAGGATGCGATCATTGCGTCGGCAGACCACATCAAATCGGCCGGCGTGGTCTTTCTCGACACCTATCCTATCGAGGTTTCGGAGCAGTCGGGACAGTCAAGGCGATCCGATCCGGAACTATCCACCCCGACCGACAATACCTGTTTCCGGGAAGTGATCAAGGAATTTCCCGCCGTGGAATCGTACTCCCCCAACACCTTGCCAACAACGACCTCGGATGCTGGGGCCCCGAAGAGGCCAATCTCTGCCGTGACCGATTCTTACCAACCACCAGCCACTCGACCACGAAAGTGATCCCGCGAGCAGCTGCACTCGTCTACCTTGATCCTGTCAAGCGTGTCGTTCCGAGCCTTGGGATCTCAGCCTCCTGAACCCGTTCCGTTAGACATATCTTTCCCGAGATCCGATCCCTACCGACCGGGTTGGCGATACTTTCATCTCCCTGTTACGATCATCCGATTACGACTTCTGTTTTTTTTCTTCCCATCTATACCCATATGCTACCTGTTCTACATGTATGTCCTCGCACACTCCGACGACCGTCGAACCCTGCGACAACCCCGAACATGGGGCGAAATATGCTCCGCGCGAAATGACATGTATCCGGATCGATCCATCCGCATAGTCGGAAAGTGTTTCACAAGTCGATTCGTTTATCGGCAGTGTAGGGTTCAACTCGGCACGCGCTCACCAAGCGGAGCGGCCGGGATCATGGTCTTGGTCGAGAGACGACTCGGATCGACCAAGAAATCGAACCGGGTCAGTTCTGTTATGAAGTCCTTGATCGTCAGCTCCAGCCTTCAGCCTTTAGACCCGTCTAAGGATTCGATTTGGAGGGACAGGCGATGCGATCTCGAACGCGCTGAGAGGGGACTAAGACTCGCCTTCTTTGAATGGGAACATCAAACGGGTCGTCACGTCGTGATGTTCTGCGGAACTTTGATAAGCGGCAAGTCCAGGGAGACCGGGGTGGTGGCTGATGAGACAGAGGTGGTATCCCTGTCTCAGGGCGTCGTCGGTCTCTGGCTCTGATGACGCTGATGCTGTCGGCGCTGATGATGGAGGGACCGGGACGCGGACTGGGCCTTGGCAGACGAGCCGCTCGGAGGTTACGCAGGAGAGATGAGACAGGTTTTGGATCTCGGTTTGGAATTGCGAGATCTTGGCGGTGTGGTCGGGTTTGAATTTGAACAAGACTTGAAATCAAGGAAGGGAGACGGTTTCAGTTTCAGTTGAGCTTACGAGTACATTCTGGCGGTGAAGGAGTCGGGGTCGATGTGTTTGTTATAGCGGGACTTACCAACGTGGATCAAGAGGTCGGACATCTCGATTTCGGTCGAAGTAGAGGGTACGACATTGAGGTCCGTTTCGATTGTGAATCTGAGGTGATCTGTCGTAGGGCGAAGGGCGTCGAGATCGCGGGTTGAGCTTATGTTCTTGCGCTGGAGATGAAACGTTTTGACATCACCCACCTTGCAAGCCCGTCCGTATTATGTCTTGATAAGAGTCTTTCTCTTCGAACGCTCTGCATTCGTCTAGCGTCTCATGACGGCGTAAGAGTATCTATAAGAATAAAATCGACGTCAGCTGCCAATGTTTCTTCTAAGCCCTGAACTTGACGCTTGAGAAACGCCGAAGAATGTTTACCGACTGGAACCCCCGGGAACGCTCGATAGGGTCCGTAAGTGATGATGTCCCGACGACCAGATCGATAGGATAATGGGCCCAAAGTGAGGTCAGCCTCGAGTTGAGATCGGGTAGGTGAGCGGGGTCGACCTTGAACAGGTCTAGGTAATGGTGGAACCGATCGATCAGTGATTCTGTGCCAAGTGGCTATAAATTGGGACACAAACGGGGGACTTGCCTACCGTGATGATTGAGCGGTTGGGCATCTTGGTCGAACTAGGCGTCGAATGTGCAGAGGTGACGGTTGATCGGTTTATCTCCTGATCTCCAAGGTAATATGATTCTGATATGTCGCTATGTCGAAGCAGGTGAGGATGAGCGTTCGTCATGTCAGACTAGACAAACGCCGAGGCTCGTAAGCGAAACTACCCACAGATTGTACTCTGTTAGCTAGTATCAATAATGATATCTCTCGTTTCTTCAACCCTATAGCTACAGCTGATAAGTATGTTATCCTTCAATCAATGCAGAGTAGTTACATTCCCGTAATGAGTGAGTCTTGTGGGAAACAGTAGTCGAGGAGATCTCGGTCCGGGGTCGATCGGGTTTCTGCGGGCTTAGCCTTAATAGCGTGTGATCGTCGAGTCAGAACACGATCACGACGATAATCGTACGATCGTCCAGTCAAGTCAGTCGAAGAGCATGTCAGGGTCAGTGGTCGATACATACATAAAGGCAGCTTCAACCCCATCGCGGTACATAATCGATCGTCTACAATCTAGCTCACAAACCAGCCTTGCACGCGGCCAAGACCTCGACAATTCAACAACATACTTGAACGCTTGAACAAGAACGACCACAACAACAACAACACCTTTGCACACACCCAAAGGTCTAACACAGATGGAAGCTATGGAAGAACGAACCTCATACGTCAAACCCGAAGAAGCGAGGAAGTTTGCTCAGGGAGTCTTGGAAGGGAATGGGGTACCGCCGGGACAAGCGAGGGTTGTGGCTAGGTGTTTGGTAGAAGCGGATTTGAGGGGGGTGGATACGCATGGTACGTTTGCGAATGGCGGTTTGGTTAGACTTTTTGTTATTGTGGTGGGGTAGTGGGTGAGAGGGAGGTGTTGTTTTGGGTCGGCCTGGCCTGGCACTCGATCTTGAAAGGGAGAGATAAGAGAGCTGATGAAAAGCGAATACGATGGACAACCCTCTTGTTTGTATCATAGGTTGTAACCGCCTACCCTCGTACATGGAACGCATCCGGCAGGGAGTCCTCGAGCCAAACGTTCAGGTGCAGGTGGAACAGATCACCCCGGTCGTCAGTCAGATCGATGGGAAGAACGGTGAGCCTGCACGAGAACCAGAACATCAATGATCGAGGAGCTCGCTTGCTGACTACCAGCTCTTGGGACTCGGTCTCTCCATCGTACCCACTTTCACTCTCACTCTGACAATCGACTTTTGAAACGATGCATGCATGTAGGATTCGGCTTCCTCACAGCCACCCTAGGTATGGACTCGTGCATCGACATGGCATCGACCTACGGGATCGGCATGTGTAGCATAAAACACTCGAACCATTTCGGGATGAGCGCGAGTTTCGTACTCCAAGCGGCAAAGAGGGGGATGATGAGCTTGGTCTTTACGAATTCTTCGCCGGCGGTGAGTTGAGTTCGACTCGAACTCGGACTGGGGGCAAATTTCAGTTTCAACCGGTCATCGAGCTTGGTGTACAGCGAAGATGGACTTCTAGAGTTAAGTTATGGGGACTGATTGGATCACGTGCTGGATCTTCTTCTCGTCTCTCTCCGCAGTTACCCGTCTGGGGAGGGATGTCCAAATTGATGGGAGTCTCGCCCATCGCCTGCGGTGCACCGGGGAACGAACAGGGAGAAGGCCCTTCAGGGCATTTTTGCCTGGACATGGCTCCGTCCGTCGCAGCTCGTGGAAAGGTTTATAAAGCGCTCAGAAGGGGGGAGAAGATCCCGATGGATTGGGCTTTGGACAAGGAGGTCAGTACTCTTACACCGTGGAGAGGTGGTTCGAGCTCGATGGGTGGGGGTCTTTTCGATATTGATTGGATTTTTACTGGGGGGGATTCGGTAGGGCCGACCCACGGATGATCCAGCGGCGGCGTTGGAGGGAGTCATGCTACCGATGGGAGGGCCGAAGGGGAGCGCGCTGGCTATCATGATGGACGTCTTCTCCGGGGTCCTCTCCGGCTCGGCGTTTGCGGTAGGTCGTTCTCGTCCCTCCGAATCCTGGCTTCCATTTCATACCGAGACTGACCCCAGATGATCATTATGTCTGAACGAATACAGGGAGAAGTGACGGGGCCGTACGATCCTTCAAAGCCGGCCGACGTCGGTCATTTCTTGTTGGCCATCAAGCCCGACCTGTTCATGGACATGGGCGAGTTCAAGGCGAGGTTGCAATACCTGTACGACCGGGTCGTAGGGTCGGACAAGATGCACGGGGTGGAGAGGATTTATTTCCCGGGAGAGTTGGAACAGATCTGCGCCAAGGTGGGTTTCGTGGCGTCCGTTGCTAGGTTCTGAGAGGTGGGCGGAGATTGATTGATTTGGGAAGCGCTGATGTTCGGTGCGACAACGCTCGGTGGTCTGTGAACAGAAACGCGAAGAAACTGGTATCCCATGGGTACAGGCTGAGATTGATGCGATGAACGCAGAAGCAGATCGAGTAGGAGCGCCTAGGATCGTCGTTCAGGTCGACGAGTAACGAACGAGGGTAAAGGCGAGACGGTCTTCAAGCTCAAGCAAGCCGTCTGTCGAACGGGAACGCTCAGAATCCACAAACCGGACAAATAAGCAACAGCCGAAAGATAGGGGTTGTGAACGCTGCCTCCGGAATCGCAGGTCATCTCGAAACACGACACCTAGCTTCGACTTTCGTACCACGGACAAATAATCGATCTTTGACCTCTCGGAGGATCGGTCGGATATCGAATCGACGGAATCTCTCTCCAAATCTGTCTACGTATCTGGTCCCGTTCCGTTGCAGAGATATCCGTTCCGTGCAATCGCAACCTCGCACTGCTGGTGCCTGGATTTAATATCGAGAGAGGACTCCGGGTCCGTCGTCCGACTTTTTGATATTCCAATGGTCCTCTGGCTCCCTGTGTGCATCTATATATATATATATATATATATATATTTCCAACTCGGATGAATACCAAGATGCTCGACTTTCGTTTAGATTCGAGGTGCTTTGAGCGCTTTATTCACGCCTCGCATCGCACCGATAACACCTGACCGTGCTCGAAAATGCGTCAAACGACGGTCAAAGATGGCTCAGAACGAGCTCTTCTGTGGAAGATTGACTTGATGCGTAGGTTAAATTGAAGTTGTCATGCAAGCGGACGAAAGGACAAGGCCGTCGACAATGTCTGACTCTCGATATTTTCGACACACGTAGTCATGCCGATCCTGACGTTCAGCTTTGGACTGCAATACATGGACAAGGCCGTCCTGAACAGCGCTTCGGTCTTTGGCATCATCAAGGATCTGGTAAGCCCCTCGAACCTCAGACTCTTACGAGGTCGCACTTGAGCTGATCGCTGGCGTTTACATTTAACATCGTAGGGACTGTCAACAACACGAGACGGGATAACTTCAACAGCCAAGTACTCTACGGCAAACGCGGCGTTCTACTATGGATACATCGTGGCGGTCCTACCTATCGCTCTACTGGTACAGAGGCTCCCGATCGTGAAGACCCTGTCGGCGTTCATCTTCGTCTGGGGACTAGTGTGTATCCTCACGGTGGTCGTCGAGGATTATAGAGGGCTTGTGGTGCAGAGGGTGTTTTTGGGGTTGACGGAGGTGAGTTCGAAGTGGAACCTGTGTATAGGACGTAGGGGAAGAGGGACCTGAGCTGAATTTTAACTACACTTCCTCTTGATTCCTTTTCCTTGCGATCTTGACGATCAGGCCGCAGTCTCACCCGGGTTCGTCGCCATGACGTCGTTATGGTACAAGAAGGACGAACGTGAGTCTACCTCTTCTTCGCCTTTCCTCACCTTCTCCCTCTGGCTAGCTCGCTGGCTCTTGTTGATATCGATCGCTGATGTGCATCCGTTTTGTGGGGTTCTACAGAGGCTACTCGGCTGGGTATTTGGTACGGAGCTACAGGGGTGAGCTTGGCTATGATCGATGCGAGATCTTCTCTCCAAGGCTGATCCTGGGGTGGAACTGCCATGGACGGCGCACAGCTCTTTAGCATGTTCTCAGGAGTGGTCTTTTATGGGATAGGACATGCCAAGGGGTCTTTACCGGTATGGAAATACATGTGAGTGCGAGATGCGCTGTTTGCAAGTATCACCAGCGCTATACGGCCTGACTGACGAGATTCGCACCGATCCGAACGCACTAGGTACATCTTTGCAGGGTCCCTGACGATGGCTTGGGCCTTTGTCGTCCTCCTCATCGTCCCAGACAGCCCGACGGCCCCAGGCAGGTTCTTCCGAGGTCAAGGGGAACAGCGATTATTGCTAGAACGGCTCGAGAGCAACAAGACGGGCAGAGATAGGACGCGCTTCAAGTGGAGTCAGGTGAGAGAGGCCGTGATGGATGTCAAGATTTGGTTGTTCATGACCATGGGGTGAGTCGGGAGGTGACGCTCAGGGGAAAGGTAGGAGGGATCTTGGGGTTCGGGGGCTGATGGGATTGCGTATAGGGCTGCTTCGTATATATGCAACGGAGGCGTCACCGCTTTCGGAGCCCGGATCGTCAGCTCGTTCGGCTACACGCCGTTGCAGACGATCCTCTTATTGATCCCCGGAGGAGCGGCTACCGTAGTGAGTCTCATCTGGTCTGAGCGTGTTGGCGTTCGGTCGAGGCTAATCACAAAAGCTGTAGATAAGCTTGCTCTTCTTCGGATGGCTGGCAGGAAGGAAGCCTGATATCCGGACCTACCTGATCCCCATCTCGTGCATCCCTCCTATCGCCGGGGCTGCCATCATCTGGAAGGCGTCTTGGGCTCATCGTGGCTGGCCCTTGTTTGGGTACTACCTTTTGCCCACGTTCGGGACTCCTTATGTCTTGACGTGAGTGTTGCGCCGAAGTTGGACGGTGGGAAACACGGTGTTGATCGAGACAACCTGCTGTTCGCTCGTAACCGCAGACTCGCCCTGAGCTCTGCTAATGTTGCCGGGGGCACGAAGAAAGCCATCTCGACGGGCGCCATCTTTATCGGATACAACGCTGGAAAGTAAGTCATAGTCGAGTCCAGTGCTGGTATCGGTGTCATGCAAGCTGATCGTCTTTGCTTACTTTTGCCTTTACCGTTGTTCACCGGCACAGTATCGCGGGATCTTATCGTGAGTCGCTGTTCTGATATCGTTGCTGGAATTTTCTTCGCTTATCAACGAGTCATTCCCCGCAGTGGTTTTTACGTAAGTACGATCCGTGCGTCTCGCTCGCTACCTCGACTGACTTGTCATTTTACAGTCAGGAAAAACCTATCCACTACCGATCGACCTGGATCGCGGTAATCGTCTCGATGGTATACGTCAGTTGTGCTTCACTGCTACTCCGCTTCATCATGGCTCGCGAGAACAGCAGGCGGGAGGCATCTCATGCAGCGAACGTTCGGACCGAGGTTGGGGACAAGGCAGATCGAAGCAAGGGCGAGTTGCTTACCGGTGGACCGTTGGCGGAAGAGATCAGCGATCCAGACTCGCACCAGTTCGCCGACCTGACCGACAAGGAGCAACCGGGTTTCCGATACTCGTTGTAAAAAGGTCAAGGTCGCATCGGCGCCTTCAAAGTCAGAACTTCAACAGGATCCTACCAAAAAAGAAACGGCTTCGGACTCGGTTCAGGTCCGCTGAATGGCGTCTTCCCGTGATAGAAGCGCCTTGCGATATGCGTAAATGAGAGTGAATATAACTATTTGGGGGAGAAACAAGATGTACAATCCAATTATGACCCAAAATGAGAAGAGCGCGATAACGACTATGAACGAGTGACGGCGAGAATAAGATCGCAATTATGGTGATGGTGGTGGTAGTGGTGGTGTGACCTTTGTCTAGGCCTTGTAGTTGCAGCAACAGTCGTTGCCCTTGGAAGGAGCTGTGTGACCAAGAACAAGATTTGGGTCAGTCGGGGGGGCCAGGGCATGCGTTCGGGGCGAAGCAAAGAGCTTACCCCACAAAGAGTTGCTCTGGCAGTCCTTGTTCTTGATCAAGAAAACGCTCGAAGAGAAGTTGAAGTCAAAGTTGAACTTGGCGGCGGTTGAGGCTTCGCCCTTGAGCGAGCATTGCTTGGAGAGAGGGTTCCATTGGATACCGGCGCATTCCTTGCCGTGCTTGGCTGTGGGGCGGTAACGTGAATGGGTCAGCCAGGCTTTGGAGGTGACCGATGGTGTCGTTTAAGGCTTACACCAGCTGTCTTTGCATTCGTTAGTGCACGTCTGCATCGAGTCGCATCCGAACGAGTAGAACTGAGATGACAGAAGAGCTTGGTTTAGTGTCTGTCTTCAAGGGCTGGTGAGTTGGAACGTGGACGTACGCTGTCAAGCGAGTAGCTGACACCCGCATAGTGCGCCCAGGAGACGCCAGAACCGGTAGAGCCCGAGCATACGGGGTAGCTGTCCTTGATCGGAGTCTGGTTGGGAGCGGCAGCGGTGGCAGGCTGGATAGTGACGGTCACGGTCGATTTCTTGGTCTCTGTGACGGGGACGATCTCGTTGACTTTGGTAGTGACGGTAGCGTACTGCAGGATGATCTATATGAGTATCGGGGTGTATGAGAGATGGCAGCGCCGATGTCGTCTTACCTCGGTCTTGGTGACGATCTTGGTTTGAGTAGCAACGGTCTGAGTCTTGAATTCCCTGACGGTTCTGAAAGACGGATGAACGGAAGATCAGTACCTCGAACTAGAGTTCACAATCCCTCTCAAAAACCTACTCGGTGACGGGAATGTTGACGGTCTTGACGGGGACCTTGTAGCCGAGCGCAGCGCACTTGATCTCGGTCAGGGCGGCGTCTTTGGCATAGAGCTTTTGGAAAAAGTCGTTCCAGAGCCAGTTGAAGGTCCGCTTGTGGTGGTAGTCGGAAGAGGCCGTCACGTAAACGGTCTCGACGGCGTGTTCGGTGGCGACGACCGAGGTGACGGGGACGTGCTCGGTGATGGTCTTTTGAGCGTGTTGGACTTCGGTAGCTTCGACAGTGGCGGTAGCTTTGACGATGGAAGAGTCGGTAACGGTTCGGTGTTCTGCGAGGCGGCGAGCAGGGTCAGCTTGAAGCAAACACGTGAGAGTCGGATCGGACGCTCACGATACTGAGTGACAGTCTTGGGCTTGATGGAGCAGCACAAGTCGTAGACGTTCTGCTTGCCGGCCAAGAAGTAGAGCGAGTTCCAGTCTTGCTCGTAATTGCCCTTCCAAGAGAGAATGCTCGAGAACAGAGGGTCGCGCTCGGCAAGGTCTCGAGGGTTGATGGCGGCGGCTTGGACGGAGGAGGCTGCAAGGGCGACAGCGAGGACGGCTTGAGAGATGTGCATCGTTGGGGACTAGGTGAGGGAGGTAGGCGAGAGCTAGGTGAGGACTAGGTGAGGACTAGGTGAGGATTAGGAGGAGTGTGGCGAGCTTTGTCGAAGGCGAGGGTAAAGAGCTTGGGTTGGTGAAGGAATGATTATTGAATCGGTTCGTCGTCTCATTAGGATCGAATCTGGCCAGGATTATATACTGTTTCCTGGCCCTGTCCTTCGATCCATTCTCCCTCGCAAACGAGCTATCTGTTGCGAAAGAAGGTCGACCTCGACGAAACCATCGCATCCCGTCGCTGATCTTGGCGTCACCCATTCGCCGGTAAGCGCGCGCGAGTCTCGGATCGTCGGGATAGCGGGATCAACAAGGTTTGAACGTCACTCGACCCGTGTTCCCGAAATTCATTTCGGTACTTGTTTCGTCCTCTTCGTCATAGTGCTTCAACGTGGTCGAGTGGGCGTTACGTACGAGTGTGAACGAGCTTGCTGACGGGACTTGCGAGCGGGACAAGGTTCCCGTGGGGCCATCTCGTTTGCGGTATCTGAGCTCGACGGGATTTTGTCAGAGTAGCCTACCAGTTGTCCATGACATCGACTATGCCAAGCGCAAGATGCCAAAGGCCGATCGGCGGGTTGCTTCTCGACGTCACCAGTTCCGTCGGCGACTAACACAAGTATTTGTCAAATGATTATGTAGTATTCGGCCACTCTGCAGCTCGTGGTGAATACTGAACTTTCGATCCTGGACGATGTCTGCATTATAAGCGAAGCGATCGAGACGGTTAACAACGTCCTGCGGGATTGAAGGCGATCCGATCTTAGAGGAAATGCGTAATGATCCTGAGATCGAGTGTACGAGCACGAACGACGCCGTATGCACCGATCGTTGCGATGGAAAGCTCGACGCCTGGCTCCGCATCGACTTTTCGCAACGTGAGGCCTTACAGTATCGGGATGACCGGCTGGCTCAAAGACATAAAGCATACTCGAACTGGATATTCTGTACAACATCGCTTGAATAGGACTCTGGGCAATTATAAGGGTAATATGATACAAAACCGAACTCAAAGATATCGTATCGTACTAGCATCGCACCTAGACCTGAACGTCGATCGCGTTGGCATCATAACCAGTCACCTCCCCGCCGTTCATATAACACTCTTTGCCTTTGCCGAACATCATGAACGCGCCCCGGATCACCGTGTTCTTGACGTACCACCCGAGATTGCTCGACGTGGCTCCTCGGCTGGACTCGGCTTTGGCGGTCATCTTGCGGATCATATCGACACGGGGCCGACGGAGGGCTTCGAATTGGGCGAAAGTGGATTCGAACGAAGTTGAAGTTGAGGTCGAGGTGGATTTGTATTCGGACAAGAGACGGGACATCACGCCGACGTCTTCAAAGGCCTGGGCTGCGCCTTGACCCATCGAAGGAGGGATCGCGTGCGCAGCGTCTCCCAAAACGCAGGTCCGGGCGGTATGCCAACGAGGGAGAACAGGCATCTCGTAAGGCGCCCATAAACGGATGTTGTCGTTGTTGGTATTACGGACCAGGCTGGCGATCGGCTCGATGGTAACGTGACCCCAGTCGGCTTGGAGCTGAGCGATGGCTTGGCCGGATTCTCGGTAGGTCTGCCAGGTGTGCCGATCTCGGTCTGGGACGGGGCTGGTGGTAGCCCATTGGATGGTGTCGTCGTCCATGGCAAAGAGGAGGATCGTACCGGAACGAGTGTAGAAGAAGGCGGGGAGCTGCATTGTAGCTGGGAGTTGGACTTGGTCTCGGCGAAGAACGCTACCGAGGGAGACGGCGCCGCTGTACTTTGGTTGGACAGGGGTTTCGCCGAGGATGTGTTGGCGGACAAGAGACCCGATACCGTCGGCGCCGATAAGGATGTCACCTGTCGAGTCCCGAGTCAGACAGAAGTCAGTTCAAGTATTGGGTGACGAGACGACCCCGTTGTCGAAACTCACCTTTGATCTCGGTACCGTCCTCGAGAACGGCAGTCACGGCGTCCTTGTCTTCCTGAATCCGAGCGAGTCTACTCGAATACCTGATCGTAATCCTTCCATCGTCGTATTCCTGACATCGATCCAGCAACAGGTTTTGAAGGACGGGCCGGGCGATGGTCAACCCGCGGACGTTCCCGTTCGACGTCATGAACCCCCCGACCCGATTGAGCGAGCCAGAGCCTTCGGTGTAGATGTCGATGGCGTCGTACGTACAGCCAGCCGCTCGAAGACGAGGTTCGATGCCGACCTGCTTATCGAGGACGCGCATGGCGTTGGGGGCGACGAGGATGACACCGCCGATGTTCTGGGGTTTAGGGTGTCGTTCGAGGACGGTCGAGCGGATTCCTCGGCCTGCGAGAGCCGAAGCGAGGGCGGGTCCAGCGAGGCCGGCACCGACGATGATGACGTGGGGGCGGGCTAGGGCGAGGGTCATCGTGGATGGTCGTTGTCGATGTTGTGAGTTGGTCGAGTGATGATGTCGAAGTGTAGCAAAGGTCCTTGATCGAGAGTTGAGAGACTGATCCGTTATATCCTCTTGCGGCCCCCTAACCCCCTTATGACGCACGATGACCGAGGGGATGCCCGTGCCCCCGCGTGCACGTTGTTCCTTCGGCTCCGAGAGAGGGATGACCGTTGCCCGTCTGTCTGCTCAAAGTAGATCGAGCTGGGCGGGCATGCAGCACACGAGAGACAAGACCAGCAGCAGCAGGTACAGTACAGTAGGTGAAAGTCAAAACGTCGTCGACGAAGAGTCTGTCGATGGCCGAGCCGAGTCTATTTTCGGTCCCGAGCTGTTGAGCGATGCCCGCCCCGCTTGTCCTGCCCTGCCCTGTGCATACGGTTTCGAAGAGCCGAACTCGCTCGACGTCATACATAGCGAAGACGGCCATTTTGGCTATTCAGGACAGGTCCGTTCTAGCTTTGAACCTCGGCAGATCGCTATCAACAGTCCGCAAACGGGCGAGCCCTAGGACCATGCTGGGCGAATAACAGAAGCGGGCCTGACATTGCAATCCAAAGTTCAAAGCTCACGGACGATACATGCAATCGCGATCTCTGGTTGGCATCGCCGTTCGTCTGGGGTCAAAGTGACATCTTGGGAGGAAAGGAGTCGACGAACATCTTTGAACGGTGCTAGTGTCATCATCAGCCTTTTGATATTATTATTTGCTTCGCTCGGACGTTCGAGGATCGGTCCCTTGTCATTCGGTCTTCTCGCCGGCAACCCCGCTTAGATCTCGATCGGACGTGTTCGCATCATACGGACGTTCATTAATATATAGCCCAACAGACATATAGATGCCCACATGGTAGAACGACTCTGAAGAAGATAGGGAGACGGTCAGGGATCGTGTACTTGCTTCATCGAAAGCGTCGGGGTCCGGATCGGAAGAGCATATCAGGTTGCTCTGGGGTTCGATCCCGTTCGACCATCCGACGTTCGGAATCGACCGGGGTAGCCCTTTCCAGCGTTTTTCTAACGGGTATTCGCCTTGGAGCACGTAGGATGTACGATGTGGTCCAGGCCGAGATTCATCCTTGTTGACGCTGACGAACTGTACCAGGCGGTCCTGGTCCTGCGATGACGGTTTTCTCGGTTCGTAAGAGCGGGGGGTTTGAGAGAGAACGTGTTTGTGCATGTTGATCCCGGCGAACCTGCTGGGCGTTACCGATTGTGGTACCCTTGACGGACTTGCTATCGTCCAGAGTTGATATGTTTGTCAGGAGCGGTCGGCACTCGAAGGGTTTGGTAGCTTGATGGTCTGGATTGGAGAACCGCGAGCTTCATGGTCCGATGATGTTCTGGCCAACGAGAGGGACGATGATGAGCTCTTCCTCGATGAGTGTTGCTGGTTGTCGGAAGGATTGAGCAAGAGCGACCGGCTAGATCGTTGAAGGGATCTTGCAGACGAGAGATTCTGATCGATTTTGATGGGTAGGACGTTAGTGACAGGTTCGGACCGTTTACAGCGTTGCGATTCGGGCTAGGTTGTGGATTTGGCTGAGCCGCTAAGAGCTGGTTGTCGACCGCCAGATGCCAATGCTCTTGGTGTTGTCCTGCCGATTGCGATCGTCTCTTCTTCAGGAAGTGGTGTCATCGTCCGTTTGTAGACGTCTTGTCAAAGCGAATCGATCGTTGGCTTGGGCGGTTGCGAACCCGTCGCTGCGATGTTGTTCTGGGAACTCGGATCGATCCGCCGTTTACCCATAGCTGGATTGCTGCCAGACAGTCCGGGAAGTCGACCTCGAACAGGTGCTGATACCGATGATCGAAAATGCCCGAACGGTAGCGAGGCAGTCGATGTCGTTCAGGCTGCGTTTACCAACCTCACGAGAGACCGTCTTTTCTCCACCGCTTGTTCGCTCAAAGTGACAGGTCCAGGTCGTCGGATTTTGAGTACCGGGTCAGCAGGAGAAATGTCGATTCGTATACTAAACAGGGTCGTTACAGAACCATCGTTACAAGCCGTCATAAAAAAATAACATCGTCAAAAGCCCGGTCGTCATAATCGAATCATCGTATATATCGTCAATCCCGTCCCGCTGTTCCTGCCCGCATCTCGTTTGCCGAGTGTTCAGGTCTTTTGACGCAAGGCGATCGGTGTGGTTGGCCGACCACCGCCATAGGTCCGCCTTGCTGTTATTTTATCGATTCGTCCTTGAGCATATTCTGTTCTCCCTCGTTACTATAAGGCGTTTTATCGGTCGTTGCGTCCGTGCGTATCACACTGTCTCGATTGTTGTGTGTCTAGGCCTGCGTCTTCAGGACCGAGGCTCGGGAATTGCACTATCCTCGTGCGGGCCGTGCGAGCACCTTGTCATCCAACGCAAATCTGGCCATTTGACGGAGACTCGAAACCAATTCGTCCTCGGCCTCGGTATGTTTGAAACCGGCGAGGACTTTCTCGATGTCCGTAGGGTCCCAGGTGCCTTCTTCCAAGGCCATCCCCATGTAGCAAGTTACCACCTGGATGATACGTGGGGATGAGGGGTTGACGAGTCGGATGGAGCGGTAGTCCAGAAAGCCACGGAATTGCATGATGCTGGGCTCGATCGAGTAGACGGTCAACTAAGAGAGGATGACAAGGCGGTCGGCGTGGGTCGTCTCGTCATCTTTCTGTCCGTTCTCACCTTGACACCGGGTCGGAGGATCAAGCTGTGCCCGGAAGAGAGGATGGCGAGCGAGGTCACCGTGTCATCCGAGACGAAGCAGGCGAGTCGACCTGACGTCAATTGCAGCAACCTCGGCATGTCTACCTGTATATCCGCAAAGTCAGAGTTGGCTCGTGCCTTTCCTATCGAGTATTACGGACGACAGGCTTACCGGAATCTCCCACAGAGCGCCCGGGGTGGAGACGTACCGATAGCCTTCCAAATCGGCGCGTCCGTCCGCAAGAGAATCACCAAATATATCCTGCAGCATAGGGGCGTGTATCAAGGCCTCGTGACTGTGAAAGACCATCTCGTCCTCGTGAACAACCCTACGTCGTTCCCAGACGACCTCGTTTTGATTGTTTCTAGCGGTGCATAGGACAAGCAAGCGCACATCCCAGGTCTTGCAGTATCGGTGCCACGAGTGAAAGAAGGACGAGGCGAATGCTGGTTTGAGAGGTATGCCGGCTGGGACCGCATCGATGGGCGATGCCTGATGCAAAGCCAGGCATGGTTGCTCGTTGGAGACGAGCCTCGACATGCACCAAGCCCATTCCGCCGTCACCCGCTCAACCGTCCGTCCATCGCACGCTCGGATGAGCCTCTTCAGCTCTTGTGCGTTCTTGTTTAGGATGTCTGCTGCTTCCGAATCCATGGAAGCCGAGTCTGGCATCAAGAGGTACGAACCCAAGATGGGAATGATGTTGCCCCTGATAATCGGATCGGAGGGGATGGTTTCAAACCAGTAGAGAGAGGTGTTCGTTGAAGGACAGGTACCTATGAGCGGGCGGCCGATCAAGTTCGACGGTTGGGGAAGGGGTGGGATAAGAACGTTGCGGGCGAGTGGAGGTGTCAAAGAACCAGGATTGTTGGAATTGGAGATGGTCGAAGCTGAGGGTGGAGGGAGACTACCAATGACAGTATGAGGATTGATGTTGTTGGTCGAAGCTGAGGGTTGAGGGAGAGTACCACCAACCCTTCCAGGAGCGACGTTGTCGAACGAAGCATGCTGCGGAGGGTCCAACAGCACTATTGGCGAAGCTTGCTGCGGAGGATCCAACGGACCTCGAGGACCGATGTTGCTGCTCGATTTCTTTACACTGTTGTTTTGCTTCACAGCTCGGGTGTGGTGATACTGACATTTACGGAGTGTTACCGCAACGTCCGTACAGATCGTCTTGTTGTTCTCAGAAGAGGTACACCTAGCCCCTCAGGTCAGCCCATGGGTCCCTCATGCAGAACTAGTATGAATCACTCACCTATGGTCTGCACAGAGATAGTAGCCATCTTTTTCAAAGTCTGCCAAGAGAGCCGAACGTTGACGTTGTTTGGAGTTCGGTTTCCAAGGCAACCGCTGGTCCGAGGTTGCAGGCTTAAAGCAGTCTGCTAAGCTGCAGGTCTGCATGACGGTGGGTCGATTCGGAGGCGGGCCAGGAGGTTCCATCGTTTGTGTCTCTGATGTATTCGATGCTGAAGAGGTGTGATGATATCGCGAGGTGTTGAGGATTTTAAGACAATTGAACGATGAACAAGTTGTGCAAGTTGTGCAAGTTCGAGCTTCTCAGCAACGACGATCATTTACTTCCGGCGTCCCAGGTCGACCCCAAAAGTTATCTGTCGACATATACAAGTATATCGTTTTCAATCTCTACCTTGATATCTCGATCGGACAGCCAGATCATCGCCAAGTTATTGGTATCGTCTGCTTAAACAGAACATCAAAGCTTGCATCAATCACCGAGTTCAGTGGGCGTCATTTCGAGACGGAGGACGGAACGGCAGCGCCCGAGAAGGTCAGTTCGAAAAGTTCCTTTCGCTGTCGGATTCTCACTGATTCACCGCCGGATAACCCCAGAATCAGTAACGGAACTACCGAAATCCATAACAGAACTTGTGATCAGTCAGTTTGAGCGGAGAGAAAACAGGCCGAGGGTCGAGGCGGTGACGAAACCGGGAAAGACGAGGTTCGTACGTGCCTTTAGCTTTTACCAAACAGCCTATCACTGATGAAACCGCTATTCAACTTCCTCAGCTTGCCAACATGTCATGGTTCAAGATTCGGCCGAACAGCGGTCTGTCTTTACCTTTGGAAACGGCAATCCTTTGGTGTGGCGGGGGTCCGGAATGTCCGATCTGCCATATCGTGCATCCGGCAGAGGAGAAGTGAGTGTCTGGGCGAAGGCGTATCGAATTCGATCGTAACCCTTGTCTCTGCTATAGTGCTCGCCGTCACTCGGAGGAACACATGCCGCCGGAGGAGGAAATCGAGATGCGAAGGCGTTGGCATCTGGGAGAGTTGGTGGCGCCGTTGGTTAAACGATCGATGGTCACCGAGACCGTACAGGCAAGTCGACGAGTCAAGTGTACGGATGTGAGGGGTGATCACAAATGTTCTGACTGTGTGCCAGACTTTCATTGATCCAGCGCGAGCTCAGCCTCAATTCCGGATTCTACCCCGGTTGGAAACAAGACTCGGAGCTGCCTTTTCCCTCTGTATCCAAGTACGTCCACAATCAGACGGAACAAGAAGCCAGCTCCTAACACGGCCTCTGTTGCGCTTGTATAGGATACGCAAAGCCGTCGACCCGAGTTTGCCTCCTGCTGTCGCTCCGCCTGTAATAGAGTCTGCCGAGGAGAAGAGGCTCAAAGAAAAGGTCTCTCAGCGGGATACCGAGATTGACCGTCTCCGCAAAGAAGTCACGAGCCTGCAGGATCAGCTACGCAATGAAGTGACAAGCCTGCAAGATCAGATGGCAGGTCAGCACCAGGCGTTTCAGGCGGCGATAGGGACTATCCGCCAAGACGCGAGCATGCGGGAACAAGAACTCAAGGAGGAACTCGCCGTCGAAATGCAAGAACACCTCGACAAGATTCCTCGGCTCGAAGCGCGGTTGAGAGCGAACGACATTGTCAACAATCGGCTGGTACTCGCGCTCGCTCTCAAGATGCAGGACAATATCGCTCAGATCAACGCCCTGCACGACATCCACGCAGTTCGGATCGTCCAGATCGGGTTAGGGTACACCCAGACGCTCGCCAACATCACCGCAGAACATGCTAATGCATTGGCCACCATCATTGCAGAACATGCTGATGCATTGGCAGCTTTGAATGAAGAGCTCACTCACCGCGAGGTATTACATGGCGAGCGGGAGCAGGCCCACATCGAGCAGATGATAGAGGCCGCAGAACATGTCCAAAGTCTCGTTCTCAGACTCCAGCAGCTCGAACAGGATCTCGGCAACACTCGAGACGCTACGATCAAGGCACTTCGAGGACAGGTCAAGAAGCGAGACGAAGAGATTGAGGGGTTGCACAGGCTTGTCGCTGCGAAAAAGCAGCAAGTAAACGTCGTCAAGGCGCAGATCAAGACCGCAGATCAGCTCGTTGACCAGATTAAGGGGGCCATGGCAGTGCCACCTACGCTTGAGGAAATTAAGAAGACGATACTCGAGGCCGTACCCGCTGCACCGACCCTCCAGCAGATTACCAACATCCTCCCACCGCCTCCACCAACCCTACAGCAAATTACCAATATCCTTCCATCGCCCGCACCCAAACTCGAGGAGATCAAGAAGACGATAGTCGAGGCTGTGCCGGCTGCGCCTACTCTACAGCAAATTACCAATATCCTGCCACCGCCTGCACCTAAACTCGACGAAATCAAGACAATGATAGTCGAGGCCGTGCCGGCTGCGCCTAAACTCGAGGACATCAAAACGATGATACTCGCAGAGATCGGTACAGCCGTCAAGAAGGTGCTACCGAATCCTCCTACCGCGGACGACATTGCAAACGCAGTTCCTACGGTGGATGCCATTGTTGAGAAGGTATCACCAGCGGTCGTCCAAGAGATCAAAAAGGTATTGCCATCTGTGCCTACCGTCGAATCGATCGTCCAAGAGATCAAAAAGGTATTGCCGGTTGTGCCTACCGTCGAATCGATCGTTCAAGAGGTGAAAAAGGTATTGCCATCGGTACCTACTGTCGACTCGATCGTCCAAGAGGTGAAAAAGGTATTGCCATCTGTGCCTACAGTCGACTCGATCGTCCAGGAGGTGAAAAAGGTATTGCCGGCTGGTCCCACTGCGGAGGATATCGGGAAAGCGGTCAAGATTCCTACCGCCGAGGATATAGGGAGAGCCGTCAAAGTTGAGGTCCCAACCGCAGAGGCCATCGGGAAAGCGGTCAAGATGCCTACCGCCGAGGATATAGGGAGAGCCGTCAAAGTCGAGGTCCCCACCGCAGAGGCCATCGGCAAACAGGTTAAAGTCGAGGTCCCAACCGCAGAGGCCATAGGTAAACAGGTCAAAGTGGAGGTCCCAACCGCAGAGGCCATCGGTAAACAGGTCAAAGTGGAGGTCCCAACCGCAGAGGCCATCGGTAAACAGGTCAAAGTCGAGGTCCCAACCGCAGAGGATATCGGTAAACAGGTCAAAGTGGAGGTCCCAACCGCAGAGGATATCGGTAAACAGGTCAAAGTCGAGGTCCCTACTGCAGATGAGATAGGAAGAGCCGTCAAGGTCGATGTTCCCACTGCAGAAGCCATTGGGAAAGCGGTAAAGGTAGATGTTCCTACCGCAGACAACATCGGCCAAGCGATCAAGCTCCCCGCTGCAGAGGAAATTGGCAAAGCAGTCAAATGTAACCCCCAATTCAAGTTTATCCTGCCTCCGCAAATGATCAAGGACCTCGCAACCCAGGTCGGCGAAATAATTTCTGCCAAGGTGATATCCAGCTTTGCAGACAAGGTTATTTCCAGCGGCTCGGGAGTGAGTAGAGACCTGGATGAGGATGAGCTGCAGCAGGCGATCGATGATCTCTCGACCGAAAGCGTCCCCGCGAACGACATCGCACAAGCCGTGCTGGAGCAGCGGTTCATGGACGGGTACAAGGACTGGAAGGGCGCCAAGGAACGTCCCAGCCTGTTCTTCGTAGCCCTGGCACAGTGTGTGCAGAGGAGACATTATCCAGGCTCCGTCTTCAAGGCTTCGCTCGGAGTCGCTGAGCGGATCGTGGAGGAGGGATACGACATGGTCGGTGAGCAGGATCCGCGAGCGGCAGCTGCTTTCGTTGCGCTGTGCAGTGTGATCAGGAAGGCGAGGACGGGTTGACGACCGGATTGTAACGATGGACTCTTGATGACGGCTTGTGATACGACCCACCTAGAGACCTTTTACGATTTTGCAATCAGTAACGATCTTACGATATTATACGATCCCGAGCAAAGAAGGGCTTGTGAGATGATACAGAGCAGGGATCGCGACTACCGGCTTCTCCATTCATGATCCTTCATCAACAGATCAACTATACACTCGCTCCATGCACAACAAGACTTGAGACCTATCGTATCTGTCAAAAGTCGTTACACATCTAGCCGTTCTGTTTCAATGCTAGATTTGTAGGATATATCTCCATGAATAAGCGTCATACATCGATTGCGTAACATTTGCCATGTACAGTAGAATAATCAGCCTCGCGTTACCAGTTGTGCCGCCAACTCCCAGCTTGCGGATCGACGTCTGCGTGGTCTTGCTGGCGATTCCTGTAACGGCACTGAACCGACCGAGGTGTGATCATCAATCAGAGCAGCGGCGAGTTGACGGGACAAGGGTTAGGGGTTAGGGGTTAGGGGGTTAGGGGTTAGGGGTTAGGGGTTAGGGGTTAGGGGTTAGGGGTTAGGGTTAGGGTTAGGGG